ACAAGACCCCGATCAGCAAATGCTGGATGCATTACTGTAGCTGCACCGGTGCGATACATGTGCAAGCTGAACATCTGGGGTAAAGAAAACAAGGTGGGTGAAAAGGAAGACAACCTTTCAAACAATCTCTCGACTTGGTCAACGCTGGCAGCAGCCCTTAATCCTCTGACATACAAACCTGGTGGTTGCCGGGGCGTCAAAGGATTCACTGATGCACTGGTTGTTGCCGGTCTTGGGGTTCTGGTGTGACGTGGCCTCTCTTGACCAACTGCTGGAGCACTTGGTCGCCCCTGCCCCTGAAAGATAGGTCGGCGAGTTGGAGCAGCAGCTGTTTGTCCTGGAGACTGAGCAGCACGCGGCCCAACTTGCCCAACACCTCTGGCTTGTTGCGACCGCACAGGCGCCGCACCACCCGCCCTGGCCCTTGTCGGACTGGAACGGCGAGGCCGACCACTTAGCGGCGCACTTCTCCGAGCCCTGGATCTGGACCGTCGAACATTGCCATCAGCACTTCGCCTGGACGACTGCCTTGTAGAAGCGTCAGGTTGCCTTTGCTGCCGAGGTGGGCCAACATCCGGACGCGCCCCTGACACAGCGACAGGTGGACGGGTCGAAGGAGGAGGTCCTGGCATTGGCTGACCATATGTGGAGCAACCCATCAAGTTCACACCGGGCCCACCACAAGCTCGAGCCCATGTTTGTCTTGCAGGATCAAACACAGCCCCAGATGCGGCGCAAGGTTGAGGCACCAAACCATGCGGTGTGACCCAATTTGGTTGCCAAACTTGATTGTAAGGGCTGGCAGGCGGTCCATTGGATGGAGGCAGGAGCTGATCCAAAGAACGCTCTGCGACACTCAAAGCAACACCCAGCGCTCTGCGCGCATGGTGACGCATGTTGTCGTCCATGGCCACAGCAGGTGAAGCGCACAAGAATGCACCCACAACCGTGAGGAGGAATGCCATGGCGCCAGCACTTGAGTTCGCAGCCGTGTCAGAAACCAAAAGCTTTTCCAGGAAGACAACAAATAAATTTAGCTCAGGATTGCACTCAAAAAAGGGTCAGGAATGCACCGATGATTTAATCGACCAGCAACCTGTAAGGAACCAGATGGAAAAAGAGAATATGGCGAATAAATTGGCAGGCGCCAATAATATTCAACCCCAGCCAGGCCAAATCGATGCGGGAGGACCAGCAACAGGGCGAGCAACGCAAAAGAGGGAGCAGGAAACAGAACACAAAAAGAAAAAGGAGAAAAGGGGGAAAGAAAGAGAAAAAAAAAGAGAGAACACAAAAAGAAAAAAGGGAGACAGAAAGAAGCACGAAGAACCAAACACAACAAAAACAACAACAAAGGAACAAAAAAAAGAAGAAAGAAGAAAAAAAAGAGAAAAAAAACGAACAAACACGTCAACAAGGAAGAGAAAGGACCAGCGCCCCTGCCCGGCGAGTAACAGCCAGCAGACCCTCGCGGCAGACCACGCCAAGGACTTGCTCAAACACTGGACGAAGAACGCCGGGGTCCGCGTCATGGAAATGTTCCTGACAGTGCACAAATGCATCCTCTTTGGTAAAAGACGCATGACGAAGTAAGCGCAACAACCACCGCCTCACCTTGCCCCAGCTGACACTTGCTTTAGGGCGCGCGACTGCGTCACCAGCCCCAGGCTCCGTTGCTGCCTCCAGCATGCCGAGATGACGCGCAAGTTCACCAGTTGGAGGAAAGACGCTGGGCCGACTAGGGCACGCCTGAAGCAGTTGGACCCATTGCCAACTACAGTCAGGGCACAATAGCACTATTTCATGCGGAGAGGTATTGTAAACCCCATGCGCGCCTCGATTCCACGCACACTCCCCGCGGAAATGAAGCAACCGACTACACATACGGCAGACAGCACCATGCCGTTGCCGACACCAAGGGCAACTTAACGCATCCGCAGACGCGCAAGCGGGGGAAAGGCGCGCACAGCCACACCCGTCACAAACCATGAGCGCAGGAAGCGGGGAGGTAGCAACACAAGCGCACCTAGTATTGAGCACCAACCGCGCATCCTGCCAAAGGAGCTGGGCTGGCCCCCAGGACGGAGACCCATCAATCATCATCAATCATCAAAGGCACACCGTGTGCCTGAATCTCAGCCATATGTTGGCATGTCAATGAGCGCACCCCGGTGGGTTCACGGCGCAGACGAGATTCGAGGACAGACGGGGTAGGGACCCACCAACGCCATATTCCTTGACACAAGACTGGCCGGCAGCAGACACCAACCACCCCTGCAAAGTTGAAGGGGCGGGGAGCCCCCGCGAAGGACCAACATCAACCGGTGTCTCCTCGAAGAACGAAGAAGCACAGGCACGCCAGAACGAGGTACGCTTCGCGTACTCGATTCTCACACGCCGGAGACCAAGAAGCAGAAGTGTGGTAACTGTGATGGCAGGCGCCATCTGTTTTTTCCTTGCAGTTTCTTGCACGGCTTCTTGCTGAACATCTCCAGGGTTGTGAACCACTGCGAAACGTTCCCCCGCAAAACTATTTGTAGTAGTACTGGCAGCAAGCCGACACACAGCCTGCCCAAGCGCAAAAGGCAAAATGGCTCGATAGCCCAAATCACTGGCCATCTCAGCAGCCACGGCCGCCTTGCTGCTCCCATTGACATCGGCAGAAAGCACTGGTTCGCGATCAGGCATCGGCACCAGAAAACGCCAAGCCGTCAATATGGGCCAACGGCGGGCATCGACAGGATCCGGCCGGCCCAAAGGCCGCCCTTGCGACTCAAGGGTGGTGCGCCAAGTGCCCGCACGTTCCAGGAGAACAGAAGCGGGAACCAACCTTGCAAACTCTTGTTCCAGACAGTCCCGCAACATATCAACTAGAGGGCGCATGGAAGGGCAAACCATTACAACATGTCGTGGGGTACCAGGGCCCGTTTGACACAAAGGACAGGAACGTATAGAAGACAAACCGCATCGGACACGCCATTGTTCTGCCAAGGAAGCAAGAGCCGGGTCCACATGTAGCTGTTCGGTCCACCCGCCACCAATGGCACGGACACACCGGTACAAGACGCGCGATAAGTCAACTGCAGCCGCGTCGGTCGGCAGACAACAACAACGCCAAGTGGGCAAAGGGACGCAAGCAATGTACCACGCAGCATTCAAGCACGCTCCAAAGACCTGCTGAGGGAAAGACGCCACCTTGCCTTGAACCTGCCGCTGCGACCATTGCGCTTGCGCTTGCGCCCGAAGGGCGTTCCTGATCACTACACGTGGGGGGTCCACCACCATACTCCCTTTGTAAGATAAGAAACAAAACATCCCGCCAGTAGGAAAGCATAAGTTCACAGGGGCCGGTTGATGAATGACGTCAGCGCATCCGGAGTCCTGCGCCTCATTGCCGGCAACAAGACTTGGTGGCTTTTGATATCAACACCCATACATACATTACATACACTACATACATACATTACATACATACATACATACATACATACATACAGACAGACAGACATACATACATACATACACAGTAAAATGAAAAAAAGAAATAAGAATAAAAGAAACGAAAGAAAAGAACAGAAAGAAACGAAATAAAAAAAGAAAGTAAAGGAAAAGAAAGAAAGAAAATAAAGAAAGAAATAGAAATAAAGAAAGGACATAACATGAAATGACAATAAGATACAGTAAAGACATACATGACATTAAATAAAGTTAAAGACATAAAGTAAAGACATAAAGGAAATAAATAAATGACAATAACATCACTAAGAACAGAAAGTAAAGTGAAAACAGGTAATGACATAAATAAATACCATAAATAAATAAATTAAATACTTACATACATACATACATACATACATACATACATACATACATACATACATACATACATACATACATACATACATAACATACATACATAACATACATACATAACATACATACATAACATACATACATAACATACATACATAACATACATACATTACATACATACATTACATACATACATTACATACATACATTACATACATACATTACATACATACATTACATACATACATTACATACATACATTACATACATACATTACATACATACATTACATACATACATTACATACATACATACATACATACATACATACATACATACATACATACACACACACATACATACATACATACATACACACACACATACATACATACATACATACATACATACATTACTTACATATATACATACATACATGCGTGCATGCATGCATACATACATACAGCGTGCATGCATGCATGCATGCATGCATGCATACAAATATATACATATATATACACATATGCATATATAGATTTATACGTATATTGGTATATTGGTATACACACTTAACACTCCACACTTCACACTCCACACTCTACACTTTACACTCTACACTTTACACTCTACACTTTACACTTTACACTCTACACTCCACACTTTACACTTTACACTTTACACCCCTCACTCCTCACTTTAAACTCCACACTCCACACTCTACACTTTATACTCTACACTCCACACACCACACTTTGCACTCCACCCTCTTCCGCATTCCACAATCTACAGTGCACTGGTACGGTAACAGGGGAAAGATGTAGACTGTTCAAATAACTAACTTGTTTCACAAAAGTGTTCTACGTGACTGCATTCGGGTTCGTGGGCTGCATCTTGTGTCTGAACGTTTTTGTAATTACAATCCAAGCGCGTCCGGTTCTACTAGGTTCGTGCTCCTTTAGTCCAACGCAAGTTCAAATCCATGCTCAGAGCTCCTTTTCACCACAAAGCTGAGATCCAATGTGTGATTGGCATATTTTGTATGGGCGATTCTTGGAACCGCCCTTGAAGCAGCCAGCCCTGCTTTAACCATTCTAGAGATTTCTAGAGCATAACAAACACGTGCATAAACATTTTGTATAAAGCCATGTAGAGCCTACTGGGCCCTCCAGAAGAGCCCGAAAAAACAAAAAAAATAGGCAGAGACTAGGTACGGTATAGAAGACAAATGTGGGACAAAATTTGTTTCAAAACCAGTCGTGCACATTCAAGCTGTAAGTCCAAAACTAAAATCTAAAATCCTGCTTAGCTGCCCATAGCTCTGAGCAGTCGCGGTAAACAGTCTCGGAGCCAAGCTTCTTCCCGAATGCGTAGCAAGGGTTCCCGTTTCACTCTGGGGGTCTGGGGGTTGAGGGTGTGTTCGCTCGACGTTGCGTTTATGTTCGCAACCGTCCGCAACCGTCCGCAACCGTCTGCGGGCGACCGCGTGAGGCCCGTGTGGCCGTGCCTATGGTAAGTTCTGCGAAAGGGGTCACTTTGGAAGTTTCAAACGTCGCGTTGCTTTGTTTCGCGTGGCAGGTGTGGCACTTCTTGATGTTTTGTAACGTATCGAAAATCGCTTTGTGTGGCAGGCGCAAAACTTTTGCGTCGTTTTGAAAAGATGAGTTCCAGTTTTCCTGGCAGGCGCGGCACTTTGGACGTGTCCATCTTCATTTTGCGTGGCAGGTGCAGGCAGCCCTTTAGACGTGTCGTGTTGCGTGTATTTGCAAATCGCATTGTCAGGACAAGGTGCAAATTCCGTAGGCGTGGCATTTTGTGAGATGTGACGAAAATTGACGGAAGCCTCGCACGAAACATCAATTTTTGTTCCACACGCACAGATTTTTGCAGAACGCAGACTTTCTTCAATGTGGTGTGTCAAGATGACGCGGTTCAGTGATGTGACAAGGGTTGCTGTTGTTTTACTCTTTTCCACTGTCTTGATGTCGCGGTACCGCACACACACATAGATATGCACATTTTATTCCGCAAATTTCGCAGGCACTTGAGTGATATTGCTTTAGGCATGTGGTGTGTACGATGGTTCGGGTCAGTGATGTTTCAAGGGTTGCTGTTATCAACAAGTCAATGTTTGAAGCATAAAAAAGTAGAGATGTGCCTTTTTGTAGACATGTGAGTGCATGAAGCGTGTTTGCTTCAGGATGGCAAGTCGGCAACGAGCGCTGCAACTGGCGAGTGTCGTCTGTTCTTTAGACATGCGTAGAAACAGCCACTTTGGGGAAAACATTGTTGCGTCAGCCGTGCAGAAACCATTTGTGGGGCTTGCAAAGGCCCGTGCTTGTGAGGCCTGCAAAGGCCTTTTTTTGGTCGGGTTCAACATGTGTTAGCTTCAAATGATTGTTTTGAACAGGCGTTTTAGTAATTGGGTTTCCTGATTCGTGTGGATGCGGCAGAATCGCCACCTAGCAGCCAGCTCCTTGTGCAACGACTTGTTGGCTCAGTTTGTTTCCTGTGGGCAAGACAATGACGATTTGTACGGCAGCTCTGTGCTCAAATCTTCGCACTTAGCAATTTGTGCCCCATCTGCATATGCCTGGTTTCCAAAGCAACATGATGAGAGATCATATGCGCGCCTTGTGGATGAGTGAAACTAATGGCACCTCACCATGTATTTAGAATTATTTAGATTACCTTTTGTCCTGAAAGTTTGCTCAAAAATGGTTGCCTGGCTTTCCTTTGTTTTGTGGGGATGTTTTGTTCGCCCTCCGCTCAGGACGTGTGCCTTACACTACGTGGCTCCAACAGCAGCTACTCAATGAGTCGTTTGGCGCCAACATTCACGTACATCCCAGTGCAGTACCTATGGCCCCAGGGCTTGCACCGCAGATGGTACCCATGCAGCCATTTGGTTGGATGAGCCCGCATCCAATGCATATGCCCGTGGGACCTGTTCCTCAAGCTGGGGTTCCACAGATGAGCCCGCATCCAATGCATATGCCCGCGGGGCCTGTTCCTCAAGCTGGGGTTCAACAGCAAGAAACAGTGCCAACGCCTCCTTGGAGGGCAGATACCAATGCTTCGTTTCTTGCCGCTACCAGTGCTCCTGTGGCTGCAGCTCATGGTGTTGGACAAGGCGCTACGCCTGCAGACGCTGCTGCTGCAGAGCTTCCAAAGTCGGATGACAAGAGCTGGTGGTGGGATGGGAAGAGATACCCGCCCTTGGTCTCGCGGTTCTGGTGCCAAACAAGGCAGCGCATACGCCAGGTGCAATGTGTGCAGGAAGATATGTTTCGTCTTCAGGACTTCCACGTTGAGGACCGCACCGGTGAAACACTGCAGAGACCGACAGTGTTCCAGGAACGGTGGCAAAGACACTGGTGCTGAGAAGGACTGAATGCGAAATATGAACAAACAGCAAAGATGCGGACTGCAAAGTCCATGATAATCAACCACTACTCGAATCTATGAACCCCCGAATGTGACCATCTGTATTACATACATATTTGTCGTTTGCGTTGGGGAAAATGACTAAGGCACAGCATGCATATACTGCACATAAGGTTTGTGGTCCAAGATTGCAGTCATTCTCGATCAGACTGGTTCGTTTGCAGGAGATCGACTGGATGGGCGATGATGAAGCGCCCCCATTAACCCAGACTCCAATGACGAGATGCCTGGTGGCGCTGATGGCAATCAGGTGCTTGCTGGTACTACCCCCAAGGCTTCCCCAATGGTGCCTCCTGGAGAAGCTACGACCTCCTCCAGTGAGCGCTTGGGTGTTGCTGAGTTTGTGGCAGGGAATGTGCCTGCTCCCAATCCGAAGGCCAAAGCTGCTCCGAAGAAGAAGAGGTCGAAGAAGACAGGCGTGAAGAAGACTGGTGTCAAGGTCATGGATACCTGTGCAGAGCGCTTCCGATCGGAGCGAGAAAATTTTGGAAATTTCCGATCGGACTTGTAAATCTTATAGTTGTCTTATAGACGTCGTATAGATGCATATATAAGACGTCTATAAGACATCTATAAGATTTTAAGGTTTCCCCATTTCTTTGAAAGTCTATTCAGAAATTTTCATTTTTTGCTTGCCAGCCTTGAGGCCTGAAAAGGCCTAACATCTGGGGCCTGCAAAGGCCCGACATCTGGGGCCTGAAAAGGCCCAACATCTGGGGCCTGCAAAGGTCCAATGTCTAAGCTTGCAAAGAGCCTGAGCAGTTCCCACAGATAGGCTTAGGGCAAGGTAAAGCTGACGCGTTGAGAAAGGCAAAGCCTTTCACTGGATAGACACCTAGCTGCGCTAGCTGTTGAGCTCTGATTCTCCAGTTTTGCAGTTGCCACCTGCCACCGGATCCATGGCATGTGAAAAAAAGATCGTCTGTTTTGGGGCTTCTTCATGTGGGGGTCGAAAGGCCCCTCCACATTTTCACACAAGGAACCAATTAGCTTGCTGTACCTGCTGCCGAGTTGTGTCCACATTTGAAAGTTTTGGATTCAGCTCTTGCACGTTCTAATGCCTAGCCTCAGTAGACTTGCTGCCGCCGTTGAGCGAGATGCTGGCTACCGCAAAAGTAAGAAAGGACCCTTGGCGAGCCTTTTGCTAGAGTGGGTGTCATGGGGTACAATATCCTTCCCCATGGTTAGAGAAGCTGCAGAAGCAGCTTGCAAAGACGGTGCTGGCTCACCCCAATTGCGTAAGTTGGCAAGCCTTGGGGGACCCCATGCTCTGTCCAGAAATATGAGGCGGGATTGCCTGAACAATTTGGACATAACCTTTGTGGAACCAGAAATGGCGAAGCTGCCCATGATGCCTGCCAAGGGGGAGAAAAAAGGTCCAGTATGTTGACCATCCGATCATCTTGCCCCATGTGCTTTTTCAGCATCTCTATGACGAGCATCGTGATTTTTCATGCAGGAGATTGCGGAAGCTGGGCCACAATTCTTTTGGGAACAGTGCCCGAGAGATGAGCCCAAGCTCATTGACCACCCTGTTCGGTCTGTACCAGATTACAAGGACAGAGCGTGCCCTCTCGTGCTGCATGGAGATGGCGCGTAGTACACAACACATCACGATTCCATCAAAAGTTTGCAGTGGTCCTTCTTGGGATCTGATGGAGTGGGCACAAGAACTTGGGATCACATTTTTCTCATCACAGTTTTGGTTTCTCGCGTTTGCTGCCAAGAAGATGTCCATGGAGTCGACACTTGGGATGTGGTCTTCCGCCTGGTGGTGAGCAGCTTCAATCCGTTGCTCATTGGCAGAATGCCGCCGAAGAGCGACAGCAATGAATCCGAATAAGAGATCTGCGAAGGAAAATACTTTGGCTTTCTGTATTGGAACACTTCAACAGCGTTGACTTTTTGTGGCTCACAGCAAGCTGAAGGTGATTTGAATTTCAGAAATCTTGCCTGTGATGCCCCATGGCGGAGCACCCTGGTTGACCCGCAGCATGCTTTCATAGAGGACGGCCATTTTTTTGGACAGCAGCTGGAATAGGCCACTACACATATGTAGGAGATTGGCTGCACACAGTGCATCTAGGGATCATGTGCCACTTGTTGGCAAGCGTGATGGACTGCATTGCGGATACCTATATATGGCAACAAAGAAGTTCGAACACAACACTTGTGGAATGACTTGGTCAAATGTCACAAAGAAATGGGCACCTTGACCGCAGAAAGAAACCGTTTTCCAAGTTTCCCTCTTTTGAAACTGGCGCAACCCATGCCATGCTAGGCACACCTGTGGCTCTTCATCACAAGTTGACACCGAATATGTACATGAGCACGGCTGAGAAATACGGGGAGCTGAAGCATGTGAGAGCCTCGGAAGTGTCTCGATTGCTTCCTGCAGTTCTTCATCTCCGCAACAAGAAACACGATGCATCTGAGCAAAGCGCTCACATCACATACTGCTTGAATGCCATGACCGTATTTGAGGATCATGTGCGTGCCAATTTCTTTTTGGCCCGAAGATGATTTAGAATATTTAATCATCACCATGTATATCTTTCAGGTGTCATACATAGCTTTGGCAGCCATGGGTGTAGAAGCTGGAAAACTCCGCTTTGGTTACCCAGCCAAAGGCCATTACTTTGAACATTTAGTAGTCGATCACCTAGGACTCGTTCCTAGCCGTGTATGGTGCTCTCGCTATGACGATTTCATGGACCGGCTGGTGCCATGCGCCCAAAGGTGCATTGCTGGCACACCGCTGACCCTGGTAGGTAGCAAGGTGTTACAAAATTATCGAGTGGCATTACGCGTGCGGTTGGCACGCTGGAGATAAGACAAAAAGAAACGCGCCCACACAATATGTGGCTTGAAAAAGCCAAGGTTTGGGGGCCGAAAGGCCCCACATCTGCTGATAATTATGTATAAACACGTCCGCACATCAGATGTTTTCTATATATTTATATATGGAAAAACCTGTAAACCACATTCCGATCACGCTTTTCATACAAATAACGTTATCAGCATGGATACCGGTATCATGATCCCACTTTTCAATGAAAAATCATTTTTCATGAAAATCCGAGATTTTGTTCAAATAGCGTTATCTGCATACCGGTATGGATGTCAAGAACGTATTTTTGACTCCACATCGAGGATTTCGAGCCTCTGGGTAGCCAGCTTCAACAAGGGCCCCAAGAAATTGAGGGCAAGGCCAAGGCAGATGGAGATAATAAGTTTGAGGGCCTCCCAGCTCCAGGTTGTGGTTGGACAAATAGGGATCTCGCACTCACAAGTACAGTGACACTCGACAGGCCCAGGCGACGCTGGCCTGAAGAATGCCGCTGCCCATGCAGCTCCGGCTAGAAACTGGGGCACCATGAAAACTTGAGAGGAAGGCTGCGGCCAGCTCACAACATCCATCACCAAACCTCAGCAAGCAGGGACAATGCTGAGTGACATTCTCAAGAGCAGGCATTGTGTGTGTGTGTATGACGGAGCGTGCGCATGAAGTTCAAAAGCTGGGCAGGGGATCATTCGAAATAAGGACTGTCGAATCAACGAAATACAAAGCACCCAGCAGTCCAACGATGGTTCGGCACCCTTTTTCTGGTGTCCCTCGATAAACTGGATGTAGCAGAAGCCCAAAAAAGGCTCTCAAAACCTTCACTGATCTAAGCTAAGAAAACATATTTGGTCTAGCCGCACGGCAAATTAGACGCCAAGAACCAAAAAAAACAGGACCAAAGCCCCAAAGCCGCAAACCTGTTTACCCCCCAGCCCCCACAAAACATCGAGCAAAAACCTTCAAAGGAAGGAACAGTGGCTGCAACGCTAGTGCCTGCTTAATTTTTTACCATGGGTATGCAAACGCGTTTTTTGCACGAACTTGTGGGTGATAACAGGCATACTGCTGAAAGAAAACCACATACAGCCTCATACTGTCCAAGCAATATTGAGCTCAGAAATCTAGCAAATCATATTCTCCTCATGACAAATGTCTCGTAAAATCCCCCGTCAACAAATCACAGCTCAACTTGCAGCGAAGTTGCATCATCGTCGGTAATCTTGATGGTGTCAACACCATGGTCCTAGGCACTGAGCGAAAGTCAAGACAGCGACCAAAAAAATCCAGAGGAGACAAAAGGCGGACCCAGTGAAAGAAGAGCAAGGATTCAAGATTCGCACTTCATCTTTGGCCTCAAGGCGACGACCTGAGAGTAGAAATAGTATGACATGGCCACACTGTTGCCAATTGAACGCTCAAGATTGTAGAAGCGCACAGAGTGCAAGAATGTGCGAGAATGTAAAACGTATTTGTTCCTGAAGCTCTTACACCACTAGTTTTGAAATGTCTTCTTGAAGTGGAAGCACAACCGAAGAAAAGGAAAACACTTTTCTTGGACCTCGTTCCATTTCTTTTGGACCTGGACACTTTTCATGGACCTTACTACAATTCTTGTGGAGATGGCGACCCTTCTTTTGGACCTGCGCACCCTCCTGCTGGACCTGCGCACCCTCCTGCTGGACCTGGCCCTTCCCCAAACCACACCCCCTTTGGATAGATTCTCCAAGCTGCGTCTTGATCGCAATTCTTCAGACAGTAGGGGGCTAGAGCTGCGCTACCATGCAACATGGCAGGAAGCATTTCAGTACATTGTGTGGTTCAGTGCCTCCTTCCCTTTCTACCCTCTTCTCAATTCCTACTTTTCACACCTCTTCCGGCCTTTCTCAGTTACGCCGGGGCTCAGCTTGGTGTCAACCTGGGTGAAAGTGCCTCACCTGGGGACATTCATCTGGTTTCAATATCTAAACTTCCCCCCCTTGTGCCCCTCATCAAACTTCTTACATTTCCTGCATTCAGTGGGCTTCAGTATCTATACTTCCCCCTAGCCTCTCTGCAACTTCTTGCATTCATCTTGTTTCAATATCTAAACTTCCCCCAGTGCCCCCCTCAGCAACTTCCTGCATTCATTTGGTTTCAAATGTGGCACCCCCGTGGCCTCCCCGCAATTTCTTGCAAGCCTCTGGTTTCAATATTCTAAAGCTCTCACGCACCTGTGCCTCTCAGCAACTTCCTGCATTCATGCGGTTTAAATATCTAGGCTTCTCACGCTCGTCTCTCCACAACTTCTAGCATGCATCGACATTTGGGTTCAATATCTTTGCGCTCATATGGTTTGAGTATCTATACTTCCCCCCTGCCCCAGCCTCTCCACAAACTTCTTGCGTTCATCTTGTTTCAATATCTAAGATTCCTCCCCGGTGCCCTCAACAACTTCCTGCATTCATCTTGCTTCGATATCTAAACTTCCTCCCCGGTGCCCCTCAGCAACTTCCTGAATTCTGAATTCATTTGATTTTATCTGGTTCCCAGACCCCCGTTGCCTCTCCACATTTTCTTGCGTGCATCTAGTTTCAATATCGAGGTTCCCCCCCCCGGTCTCTCCACAACTTCTTGCATGCTTTGTCATTTGTGTTCAATGGCTAGGCTTCACCCCTCATCTCAACAACTTATTGCGCTCATCTTGATTTAATATCTAACTTTCTCTTCCCCCAATGTGCATCTCAACTTCCTGCATCCATTTGGTTTCAAAATTTAGGTTTCCCCCAGCTGGCCTCTCCACAACTTCTTGCGTTTATGTCACGCTGTTTCAATATCCGAATTTCTCCTGCCCCCCTGTGCCTCTCAGCAACTTCCTACATGCATTTGGTTTCAATAGCTCGGCTTCCTCTGTCCCTCAACAACTTCTTGCGCTCATCTGGTTTCAATATCTAACTTCCCGCCAATGTGCCTCTCATCAAACTTCCTAAACTTCCTGCATTCATTGGGTTTCAATGTCTATGCTCTCCAGGGAGCGCCCCTCTCCTTGTGACACATTGCGTTTCACACCTCCTTCCCATTCTGCCCGCTTCTCAATTTCTACTCTTCACACCTCTTTCGGCCTATCAGTTACGCAGGGGCTCAACTTGGTATCAACCTGTGTGAAAGTGCCCCACTTGGGGGCATTCACCTGCTTTCAATATCTAAATTCCCTCCCTGATACCTCTCAGCAATTTTCTGCATTCATTCACTTGGTCTCAAGACTTCCCCTCTGGCCTTTCAACAACTTTTTGCATGCATCTCAACTTCGTTTCAATGCCTAGGCTTCCCCCCTTGTCTTTCAACAACTTCTTGCGCTCAGCCGGTTTCAATATCCAACTTCCCCCCCGGTGCCTCTCATCAAACTTCTTAAACTTCCTGCATTCACTGGGTTTCAATATCTTTGCTCTCCAGGGAGTGCAGCGCCCCTCTCCTTGTGACACATTGAGTTTCCCACCTCCTTCCCATTCTGCCCTCTTCTCAGTTTCTACTCTTCACACCTCTTTCGGCCTTTCAGTTACGAGGGGCTCAACTTGGTGTCAACCTGTGTGAAAGTGCCCCGCTTGGGGGCATTCACCTGGTTTCAATATCTAAACTTCCCCCTCTGATACCTCTCAGCAATTTCCTGCATTCATTCACTTGGTCTCAAGACTTCCCCTCTGGCCTTTCAACAACTTTTTGCATGCATCTCACCTGGGTTTCAATGTCTAGGCTTCCCCCCTTGTCTCTCAACAACTTCTTGCGCTCATCCGGTTTCAATATCCAACTTCCCCCCCGGTGCCTCTCATCAAACTTCCTAAACTTCCTGCATTCATTGGGTTTCAATATCTTTACTTCCCCCCTAGCCTCCCCACAACTTCTTGTGTTCATCTTGTTTCAATATCTAAGCGTCCTCCCCGGTGCCCCTCAACAACTTCCTGCACTCATCTTGCTTCAATACCCGGTGCCCCTCGGCAACTTCCTGCATTCATTTGGTTTTATATCTGGTTCCCCCGTGGCCTCCTCAAGTCCTACCCACCTGTGCGTCTCAACAACTTCCCGCATTCATGCGGTTTCAGTATCTTAGCTTCCCCTCCTCGTCTCTCCACAGCTTCTTGCATGCACCGTCATTTGGGTTCAATATCTAGACTTCCGCTTCTCGTCTCAGCAACTTCTTGTGTTCATCCTTGTTTCGATGTCTAACTTTCCCCTCTCCCACCTGCCCCTCTCTCGCCAATTTTCTGCGGTCATCTGGCCTCAATATCTACATGTTCCCCCGTTTCTCTCAACACCTTCTTGCATGCATCTTGTCTCAATATCTAAATCCCCCACCCTGTGCCTCTCAGCAGCTTCCGGCATTCATTTTTGGGTCCCAAAACTTCCCCCTGCGTCGTCTCTCAGCATTTTTTGCATGTATCTTCATGTATCTTCATTAAATGTCTAGGCTTCAACCCACATCTCTCAACAACTGTTTGCGCTCATCCTGTTTCAATATGTAAATTGTCTCAATATCTAAATTCCTCCCACCCTGTGCCAGGTCCAAAAAAACATGTACAGGTTAGGCGCCAAGGTCCCCCAAAAAAAAAAGCCCGATGTGAGCGCCTATAACAATGAAGTTCCCCCCCACCCTATGGAGGCAAGGTCCACGAAGCAGGTGCACGGGTCCAAAAAAAAGAAACCGACATCAGAAACAATTAATTTGGCTGTCAAAAAAAAAACCTGGGTCCAGCACAAATACATGCAGGTCCAAAAAAATATCCCCGCAGGGTCCAGAAAACACACCGGAAAGTCCCCACATTTTTTGAAGCGCTGCCAGGTCCAAAAAAAATCCGGCCAGATCCAAAAAACATGTACAGGTCCAAAAAAAGGGTGCCCAGGTCCAAAAAACATGCATCCCAAAAAAGGAAAACCCTCCAAGAGAGCAGCATCCATCGACGGCTCGAATCTCAATTTCTCAATCTGTCTTCACATGTCTCGGTCTCAAGCTGTCGCGACTCCGGGGACGGCTATCCTGGCTTTGTCCGTCTTGATATGCTTCAATTTCGCTGAGCTTTGCATGTCCGGCCTGCTCATTGCCCCAGACAATTAGAACTGAGTTTTCTAACAGCAAAGCAAACTCCATCAAATGAGACCGCCTTTCTATCTCTGCTGCGGCTTCGGTCCTGGACGGCCAAATCAAGCAAACTTATTGAAGCCAAGGGGTAAGGGACAAAAGCTAGCTGGGAAGGTAAAGGGAGGAGAAAGGGAGAAAGGTGTGGTGAAAGAGCGGTGTGTGAGGCTTTGGGAGATACGAAGTGGAGAGTAAGTCTGATGATGCTGATAATGCCGATGATGCTGATTGCGACGGTATGGCGACAATGTCCCACAAGGGGATCAGACATGGCAAAGTTGTTTCAAAAAAATAGGTGTGCCGGGGGCGTAGTTAACTGTAACGCGTCATGTGTTTGACGATCCCGGCCCCCCAACACCTTGCTAAAGCAAGGGGGGCTTTAGCTAGCAAAAGCTAGCTTTCGTGATGATGGAAATGTCTAATTTCACGCCCATCCCATTCCACCTATGTCCTTGTTTGCAACATCGCCGGACATCATCTAGACTACAGAAAACTACATGCTTTGGATGTGGTTTCAAAAACTGGAACTGAACAACTACGCAGAGACTACCGTAGTTTCAATCACTGTTTGTTTGTATATCTGAAGAGGATAAAATTGAAAAACTTCAAACTCACACAAAACAGTGCCTGTACAAACACAAACGCAGGCAAAGAATGCGCAGGCTGGAACCATCCTGGAGCCGAAGGGCACACAGTAGGGGCAACGGATGTTTGTTTTTTTCAGAATTTTAAAGTCTCGTTAAAGTCTAATCCGCCGACCCCTGCCGACGGCACGGGGGAGCGTGTCAGAGAAGCAATTACGAGCATGGGGTTTGTTTCGCAAGGGAGAGGAAGAGGCAAAAAGCAAGAGTAAATCAAACGAAAGAAGAAAACTGCAAGAGGAAGCAAGATATGGGGAAAGAGAAAACAAGCAGCAAGAGCAAGAAACTACTGTTTGGTTGGTTTGCAGTTTCGCATGCGCCCACCAAAGCTGTCGGCTGCTGCCTTGAACAGGTTCCGCCAAAGCTGTGTGAGGCTAGTTATTTGTCGCTTCAGAAAGCCACGTTGGGCACTGGAAGTCGCTTGCCGCGGACCACTTCCCCCTTCAGTGGCATGGTGCTGTGTTGTTTCTCGCATTGAAGCTGCCCTCTGCTGGATCAACAACTACTTGCGAATCGAATTGCCAGACAGACAAAATCAGAAAGCGATAGGCACTGGCATGTGGGCCTCGAACGGGGCAGCCTTGCTGTGTCGCAGGCGCCCGCCAAAGCTGTCCGAAGCAGTTTCTTTTTGGTTCAGAAAGCAATTAGGCACTGGAAGTCGGTTGCCGCAGACCGCTTCCGTCCTTCAGTGGCATGGCGTTTGCTGTTTCGCATGTGCCCATCAAAGCTGCTGGCTACTGTCTTGAACAAGTTCCGCCGACCCCTGCCGACGGCAGGGGGGAACGCGTCGCAGCATGGGCGTTGTTTCTTGTCCGTTCGCAAGAAGGAGGCAAGCAACGCGACGCTATGCCACTGAAGGACGGAAACCAGCCTTGAATTGGATTGAGTCTGAGCAATCTGGGAGCGCAGCTGCTGTCCAACTGCGTTCGGAATATATTTCATTTTAAATAGCCACCACAGCAAAAATACTGCGAATAGCGTGGTTTTGCTACCAGTGGCACAAAACATCGTAAATACCGTGGTTTTTGGCTTACGAGGCGCCGAAAACATCGGTTTATTTACGGTGCCTTGTGCTCCGAGAGCTTCAAAAAAAACGTGAAAACACCACCTTTTTGACAGGTTTTAGGGGCACACCAAAATGCGACAAAAAAGGTGGTAAGGGGGTTACAAGCTGCGGTATGTGAGGAATGTCACACTATGCTCGCGCGCGCATGTGCGCGTGCGCAAAGCACATGAACAACACCAACACTCACACTACCGACATAACATAACCCTTGTGGCGTCGCCTGCGTGCGAATCTCTACAATTAATTTTAAAGAAACTAAGTGTTGTCCCTGAGGGCCTACCACTGGACCACAAAATTTGCACAAGACTTGCATATTATAATATTGATCCCCGTCCGAATTAGAGGGGGAGCCTGAGCAGCCTCATTTTCTATAGAAAAGTACCGGTTCGCTAGAAAATGCCTCAACCATTTTGTGAAGGTGGGGGGTGCTCGGAGCCACTATCGGACACATTTTCTATAAAGCAAAAATTCTCTAACCAAAAATATAGAAAATTACATATTTAAAGAAAAAACTCGAACATGTTTTGTCATTTTTTGTTTAGTAAATGCCACGAAAATTAGGAGACCGTGTCTAGAAAATCTGTGGGACTATGTTCAGAATTTCATCTCTAAAAAATGCCTTTAAAAAATAGTAGGCAGATAGCATATCTAGAAAATGCTGGGATTAGTTTCAGAAATATACCTCTATAAAATGCGTAAAAAAAAAGTGAGGCTGCACTAAAAAAAATTGGGGCGGCATCTCTCTTCTCAACTATCCTCAATGCAAGGCTGTGCACGGATCGCTTATATATATAAATATATAGATCTCAAATGTCTAGGAAATGGAATCTTATGTCTGGAAAATGATGCTGCAAAAAATGCAAATACGACTTCCAGAAAATGTGATGGGTTGGATTCAATAGGATTTTTGTCAGTTCTTTTCTAAAAAAAGATTTCTGACCTTTGCCTTCTAGAAAATAGGTTTTTAACATGTTTTGTCCGAGAAAATGACTAACCTGATTCAACATGATGCATGATGGATATTCTTCTAGAAAATGAGGTGGTGAAAATTGTCACTTGAAGAAGGTCGCAGCGTTTTTGTCAGATGTATACTCGAGAAAATGAGTGGGAACGGAAAACAAACTCGAACCAAAAACGCGACCAAAAAACACCTCAAAATCTGATTTCTCTAGAAAAAAAAACGTAGAAAATGACCGCTTTTTTGTCGCCCAGGCTGCCCCATTTCCTAGAGGAAATTCCGACGGGGATTCATATTGCATCACATTGCATCATATATGGCATCACACACGTCATCGAAGGATGTTTAGAAGCCAAACTTCCGACAACATAGACAGCTGGAAAAGCAGAGGTGGGAAGAGTCAGAGAAGAGAAGAGGAAGAAGAAAGAAGGATGCAGGTTCGCGAAAAGGTAGGAAAGTCGCAAAACACTGTGTTTTTCCAATGGTTTGTGGCTCTGGAGGGTCAAAAAGTAGGCTCGCTAAAGCGGCGGGCACGGAGCCATCTGGCCAGATGAGAGATGAAGAATTGCACGCCGTTGTGGCACGAACCAGATATGGCAGCACTTTTGGCAGTTGAACAGTTGAGATGTGGGGAAAAAGTGCACGGCATTGTGGCGCGAAGCACATTTCGAAGTCAGAATGTACAAACCACACCATTCTCGGATGAAAAAGTGCACGGCGTTGTGGCGCAAAGCACACTTCGAAAGTAAAATGCGCAAGGCGCACTTTTGGAAGTTGGGATGTTGGAAATTGCACGGTGCTGTGGTGCGAAGCACATTTCCAAGTCAAAACGCTGAGAACACCACATGTTCGGACCACTTTTGGAAGTTAAGATGTTCGAAAAGTGCACGCCGTTGTGGCGCGAAGCACATTTAACACACCACGTTCGGACCACTTTTGGAAGTTAAGATGTTCAAAAAGTGCACGCCGTTGTGGCGCGAAGCACATTTAACACACCACGTTCGGACCACTTTTGGAAGTTGAGATGCCGAAAAAGTGTACGCCGCTGTGGCGCGAAGCACATTTGGAAGTCAAAATGCTAAAACCACCACACGTTCAGACCACTTTTGGACGTTCACAACACGACAACTACTACTACAGCTACAACTACAACTGCAGCTACCACCACACCACACTACAATTACAACCACACTACGCTACATTACACTACACTACAACTTCAACTACAACTAGAACTACAACTACACTACACTAATTACACTACAACTACAACTACACTACATTACATGACACTACACTACACTAATTAATAACACTACACTACGCTACACTACACGACAGCTACAAATACAACTACAGCTACGACTACAATTGCACTACACCACGCTACACTACACTAATTACACTACAACTACAACTACGCTACGCTAATTACACTACACTACACCACACTATACCACACTATACTACACTAATTACACTACAACTACGACTAAAACTAACACTACAAGTACAACTACACTACACTACACTACAGCACACAACACCACAGTACACTGCACTACACTACACTACACACACTAACTACACTAAAGCTACAAGTACAGCTACATCTACAACTACAGCATACTACACTACACTAATTACACTACACTACAACTACAACTCCGCTGCTCTAGACTGCAACTGCAACTACCACTGCGCTATACCACACTACGTGACCACTGCAACCACTCCAAAACCACCTTTCGGTCCATCAGTGGATTCGCTCTGCCGCCATGCATCGCAACGACTCACCTCTCCTATAGTGTCCTATCTTTGAAACTTCCGCCACGGCCTTGTGCGGTACTACTGGTACTATGTACTCTCTTGGACAATGTCACTTGTCGCATTCAATTCGCTGGGAGAGTGCTGGTCTCGTTTGTTTTACGGAAACTACACTTGAAGGTGGCTAGAACCAATGCTGATGCCATGCTGAAATCATGATTGCAAAAAGAAGAATTAAGACTTCTACTTCTGGCCACAATTAGTGTTTTGCCTCGTTCATGCCCAGGACCACTAGAAGCCTGCAAATTCCTCTTCGCCAACCCACTGGCGCAGGCAAATCTCTGTCTATTCCATCTGTTTCATACTGCCAGGCTATTGGAACCCCTTCCTCAATTTCTCAAGTTCCAATCTCACGCGGTGTAGGAGTGGCAGCAATGTCATAGAATAATTTTTCTAGAATATGGACTGCACACACATCCACCATGGAGCGGGCGCTTTTGAGAACTGCAGCGAAATACCCATCACGAGAAAACGTTTTGGGCAAGAAACATTCAGCTGTGGACACTGCCAGCCCAAGGTGTTGCTCAGCCCAGTGAATCTGTGTCTCGTTTTCCTCCGGCAAAATGGAACAAGTACTATAAACCATCGACCCGCCTCTAACCAACAGATCGTTGGCGCAGCCAAGAAGATAGCGCTGCATTTCTTGGAGCTGCAGGAAGCTGTCATGGTCACGCTCGTCTTCAAAATAACGATATTTGCATTCCGGATGACGACGCAAAGACCCTGTGTTGCTGCAGGGGGCATCGATCAGCACCCAATTTGCACTCTCTTTCCAAGACAGAACGAGCGACATATTTGTTAGAAATTCCACTTGGGGACACGCTTCGTGGTGGGCCTGAGCCTTTATAAATCGTTGCTTTGCTCGCTTTACTGCAGATACGCGAGGGTCATGGAGCACTAAACATCCTGAGCTCTGCAAACATGAAAGAATCCCCAGCGCCTTCCCTCCAGCTCCAGAGCAAAGGTCAATTACGGTGTCTGTAGGTTTGCACTGTACAAGTTGAGCCACAAGCTGTGAAGATTCATCCTGCATCTCCAACTCACCAGACAGGTACGAGGGCAGTTGTGACAGTGGAACTGCGCTGGGGCAGGCGCTTTCAACTTTGATGCAGTTATCAGCTTCTTGGCATGTTCCAGCCTGGTGTCCAAGCCCCCTCAGACTGTCCAACAGTGAGTCCATACTACTTGCACCAGGGTTCCTGCGCAAAAATGTCCACGTTGGAATCTCGTTTGAGATGTCACAAAATTCTCGACAAACTCTTGGCCCTAAATGTGCAGCAATCTTGTTGTAGAGCATATCTGGAAATGAAAAAAAAACCGGCACAGGTCCTACACTGTCTGTAAGAAATTCCGATTTCGTAGTGCCAGGACTTCTCAGTTCTTTCCACTTTGAGCTTTGCAATGCCTTCAAACGTCTGCTCCATTGGCATCCATCGTCCGAAACATGATCTTGATTCACCCAATCCAAGAGTCGCTTGTGACGGATCAACAATTGCAAAGTCTTATTCAGCTCGAGCTTTTCGTCTTTCAATAGACGGATTCCTTGAGCGCTTGACAAGACACTGCTCAGAAGGTGTCGGGGGTTTGCTCTCCAAAGGCCACTTTCTCTTTGGTCCCACAACTTCAAAGTGTGGAGCAACTGCTTTTCCACGAAAGGTCGCATACGAAGCCGTGCAGGGCCACACGACGTGGCAAAACGGCAAAGTGGCAAAACTGATAAGTTTGTTTCTTTTTGATTTTTTTTGATACAGTTACAATTCGTTCAATGTTAGCCTTGGCCAGGGACCCAAGCTCTCGACCTGCGCTATTTGATAGGTGGGGACAGTTATCGGCTTTGTGAAAACGTCATAAAATGTTTTTGCGATATCCAAATGCTGTCACTGTCCATGATTTTTTTGATGGCAGACCTGCGGGAAAATAATCTGTAAACCTGGAGCCACATTCGAATGAGGATGTCAAGAAACAATTTCGGTCCATGTAGCGTCAAAAGCCGTGTATTTTCGTTGCCCGATGAAAAGGGCAAAAAATCTCTGGATGAGACTGCGCGTGCCCGGTCTGAAACGTCTGGCTCCGAGTCATATGATCATATTTGTCTGAAAGAGATCTACTCTATTGAGATCCAAATATATTTGTTATTGTTGTTCCAACCAAGATCCGCGCAGTCAACCCACAAAGGACTCTCCCAACGCGGAAAAACCAGAGCCAACAGATTGGAAACCAAGAGGTATCATCACGACTTCAGAAGGCATGTTGTGTATAAGGAGGCAGCCCGTGAGAGTACATCCATATCTGTATACTGTATATATATAATAATCTGTACATATATATATAATGTATATATATATATGATATGTATATATATATATACGATATATGCATACATATGCATATATGATATGTATATATAAATAAAATATATATATATATATACGATATATGCATACATATGCATATATGGTAGGTATATGTATATATATGTGTGTATATATACATATGTATATATATATATATCTGTAAATATATATATATATATGATATATATGATATATATATATATGTATATGTAAATGCTATTGTGTGCATATATATATGTGTGTATGTGTATATATATGATATGTATATATATGTGTGTATACACGATATGTATGTATGTATGTATGTATGTGTATGTATGTGTATGTATGTATATGTATGTATATGTATGTATATGTATGTATATGTATGTATATGTATGTATATGTATGTATATGTATGTATATGTATGTATATATATGTAAATGCTATGTAAATGCTATGTGTACATATGCATGTGTATATACATGATATGTATAATTATATATACATGGTATGTGTATATATTAAATATACCTATATATATATGTATAACATTGTATAACTGATATATGTACATTGCTTTTGCAGTTTGCAGGAACCTTGCCTCAAGAATCGAATCTAGCAATCCAAGGGGAGGAGAAGAGAGGAGGAGAAGGCATTCCTTTTTCCAAGCACTGCAGAACGGGTCCCAAATCTCTGCAAAGCCTGACACGCGAAATGGGAGAGATGCTTAGCTTCCTGAAACTCAAGCCCTTGCTCCTTTTGCAGCTTGGTTCAGTTTGCAAAATCATAAAAAAACATCCCCGTTCTGTGGATGGTGGTCATCAGAAGAGGTCTCTCATCTGTGAGGAGCAAATACAAATCTAGCTGAACCCACCATTTACAGTGTCTCAAGCCTTGCATCTACATACAAGACGTCTCCTGAGGGTTCCAGCAACATCCGAGTAAGATCCCACAAAGATCTCCAAATCCAGCACCGCCTCCGATCTTGACCATGGCCTAGACATCGAGACTTGCTTTTGGAATGTGCGTATGTAATCAGCATGTGTACCTACATACATATACACATGTATACATGTATACATGTATGTATGTATGTACGTATGTACGTATGTACGTATGTACGTATGTACGTATGTACGTATGTACGTATGTACGTATGTACGTATGTATGTACGTATGTATGTATTTATGTATGTATGTATGTATGTATGCATGTATGTATGTATGTATGTATGTCATGTATGTCATGTATGTCATGTATGTCATGTATGCCATGTATGTCATGTATGTCATGTATGTCATGTATGTCATGTATGTCATGTATGTCATGTATGTCATGTATGTCATGTATGCCATGTATGTCATGTATGTCATGTATGTCATGTATGTCATGTATGTCATGTATGTCATCTATGTCATGTATGTCATGGATGTCATGGATGTCATGGATGTCATGCATGTCATGGATGTCATGGATGTCATGGATGTCATGTATGTCATGTATGTCATGTATGTCATGTATGTCATGTATGTCATGTATGTCATGTATGTCATGTATGTCATGTATGTCATGTATGTCATGTACGTCATGTACGTCATGTATGCCATGTACGCCATGTATGTCATGCATGTCATGCATGTCATGTATGTCATGTATGTCATGTATGTCATGCATGTCATGTTTGAATCTCGGCTGGATCCTTTTGTTCGTCGCCACGAAAAGCTCAAGGGCCCTAAAGGTTTAATTAAGCCAAAAGGTGCATGACATAACAGTCATTCACAACCAGGCTTCTCTAAGACCATGCATGTGACAGCGTGGAATCACACCCGTCTTATCTACTGGTGTGAATGCGCAGTGCTATATACAAAAATAAGGCATGCAACTCTATTCCTATGCAGGGACGTGATGTAGTGGATGCGTCCCTGTTGGCTCTTGACCTCAGCTTCATTTGCAAAGCTGGCATCGGAAAAGGTAACGACCGCAAGATCGTTCCAATCAATCCAGTCAGTCTTGAAAGTGATTTTGAGTCACTTCCCTGCAAAGCAAGTTCTACAATTCTGTTGGCGTCCTTCAGGCTCTGGACTGTGCTTTTGGAATGGCAGCAACGCTGAAGTTCATTCACACGATATGTAAGATCTGGCCGTCCATAACAACTTACCCATGCCAGTCCTCCAACGACACGCCGTAGAGAAGCCAATTCCTCCTGAGTCAGGGGGTCATTCATCTTTCGATCCTTCCCAATGGCGGCTGGCTTCAAGGTCCGAGTGTTGTCTCGGACGTCCACATGAATCGTGCAGTCATCATCCTCAGAGAAACGGCGTCCGCAGTAGCGGAACGAACCTTCTTCGATCTTCCCACCCGAAAAGCGGTTGAGGATTGCATCTACAGTTTCCTTGCCTTCGTCTGAATAGGCGAAGAGCAGATCATCCACATGCGTACACATCATACCGGCAAGATGTTGGTCCTTGCCGAAGAGGTAGTATGTCGCTGGGCAAATCTGAGATGCTACAAAGCCTCGTGCCAGAATCTCGGCATTCATCCACAGATAAAAACCTCGTGCGGCATCTTTCGTTCCATAGACCGGGACTCGGCACATCAGCACCGCGTCCTCTGGGATCTCGGCATCGAACATTGTCAGTCCTCCGCGAGGCGGGGCCATGAGCAGCAACCTCATCATCGGAGCCGCCTGGAAGTAGGCGTTCGTGATGTCCGCTGTTCGAAGTCGAAGTTTGCGCGTAGCAGCATAGCTACACAACACCAGATGTGACTCTGGCTCCGACGTTGGGCTGTCACAGCGGATCTCCTCTTTGTTGACACTCTCAAAAGTTCCCACAACTCACAAGTCGGCACTTGTAGATCGGCTTGAAGTCGGGGCTATTCACCTCGTGGGTGTCTTGATAGTATCCAGCCATTTGCTGGGTATCACCTGGTGTCCTTCTGACAACAGTCGCGCTTTCTCAGCGCCGGATACCACCACAGCAGCGTTGAAAGTCTTGTGCTTATCCCAGTCCTTCTGTCTCGCTTCCAGCATTACCTTACGGGTCTCTTCATCGACATCGTTGATGTTCAAGGTCTTGGCGACCTTCCCTTCATGTGTTGCGGCAGCAGCATCGGGACCCACACGTTGGGCAGCAAACGCGGAAAACTCAGCGAAATCGTCTCCAGCATCAGCTTCGAGCAAAGCCATGGCGCGGAAAGGGTCTTGTGCCCTCCTGAAAAAGGTGAAACCGGTCCACGCCTGAGATTCAACTAGACTACCATTACCTAGAACAACCTCGCAGTCCTTCACAGAGCCATCTGCGAAGACCTTCCGCACCTTGCATGCGGAACCAGCAAGATATTCCTCTGGCACTCCTCCCTCATGGAGGGGGTTGTAGTCCTTGAACCTTGGCTCAACATGAACTCGGATCCCACAAGTGTCACTGATTCTCCAGTGATCCTTCGTTTCCACATCTGCCATCATGACATCTCCTTCCAACGCTCCGGGCGCCTTGGGTGCAGACCGGGCAGCCTTGCCCGTCTTATCTTTCGTTTCGAACACTGAAGGTTCCAGATGTCTTCTGTTTCATGTTTCTGTCCTCGACCACTTCCTGCTGCTGAGCTCGACGGTGCTCCGTCGGCAACCTTTCAGGTACCTCTGCTGTGGTGGGCCGGAAATGATCACTTCAGGCAAACCTGGAATATTGTTCAGCAGTGAGTACGCTAGGGTCTCAGCTTCATCTGCTGATCTCACTTTGTTTTCGGCAACCAAAACGGGAACACCTTCATGCACAAGCCAAAGACCTCGGTGTGGATCTTTGCATATGATGCGCGAAGCGGTAGACCAAATTGTTCCACCGACTTGGTTGTCACGGCGGTACACTACAAGATCTCCGACATTGAAGGTTTCCTGTGCGGCTGCGTTTCGCAGCAGTGCTCTTTGGAGTGCACAAAAGCTCTTTGGGCTTCCAGTACTCCAAGGTTTCCAGCTTCCTCCAGGTCAGTCACGCTGCCTGGGCACCCTGGGTTTTTGCCCAATACCCATTGGGACGGACTGTATCCGTTGACCGGCCCATGCTGTTTTTGGTGCTCAGGGTTTCGTGTAAACAGATACTGAAGTCTCTCTCATCAGTAGCTTCGGAATCAGCCACTACTCGCCTGAGCATCGCTTTCATCACACCTTGGGCCCTTTCTACCTTTCCTATGGCCGTGGGCGTCTCCGAAGACAACTTCAAAGCCGTGCGAGGCCAAAAGCCTCTGTACCACGCCTCGGTTATGTACCCCCCTGTCACAGGTGACTTGTTTTGGCCAACCGGCCCGGCTAACCCAACGGTTAACCATGGCGTTGGCACAGCGCTCGGATGTTGGCATTCCACCTCCAACCTTGACAACTTCAGCCAAGTGGAAACCAGTGGCGATATCCACAAAGCTGAGTATGGAATACGTGTTGCCAGCGTTGTCTCTGGCTTCAGCAACATCCATCCCTACGCAAGCATTGAACTCAAATTGGAACTTGGGACCTACCGGATGCTCTCTGGGGCGTGGCTTGGCATCTTCACAAACCGTGCATCTGACCAAGCGTGCGCTTTCAATCAACTCAGCAGGTGCCTTGCCTGCCTTCAAGATTGCTCTCAAAGTCTGAGGCGTCGGATGTCCAAACTGACGGTGCAAGCGCCTGATGGCAATGCGCGTGCGCTGTGGGAGCCTTCTCCACAGTGCTCTGCGCTTCTGCTCCTCGACGGTTCCTGGCAAAGCAAGCTGGTCAAGTGCTAGGGACTCTTGTTCAGCCGGTGTCAACTTCTGCAGGTCAACAGAATCATCCATGGGTTGCACTTGCGTGTCATCAGATGAAGGTTCCATGTCCTCCTCATCATCTTCAATTACACCATCAAAACAGGTACGTGCAAAACTGCTCAAATACCTTTCTTCTGATGTCTTGCAAAGCAACTCAAGCATGGCAAGTTCCTTGGAATCTTCAAAACATTTTGGGGCAACAACAGGTTGATCCCAGACCAAAATCTCCTCTTGAAGATCTGCTGCAGTAGGGCCTGCCAGATAAATGGTCAAATCACCACGGGTGGACATGCACACGTCATGGAAATCGTGGAACTCATGACGGGGGCACAACACAACAGCTCCACAGTTGTTCAAGTCTGATTCAATCCAAAGGTCTCCCAACAAATCCAAACGATCAGTTTTGGAAACGTATGCAACAATCAAACCAGGCGGCTTTTGGGAAACTGTCTCAATCAGCTTCTTGCGTGTCTTTGACCAATCCTCCTGGATGTCCAGGGCCTCAACTCCATCATGGGTTTTCCAGGGCAAATGACAATCCGTCAAAACAACCATGTGTCGTGAGTCCAGAGGGGTCTGGCTCACCAGCGCTGTCAAAACCCTATCTTGCTCATTCATGATGGACAACCCTGCAACAAACGCATATTTTTCACCCTTGTTCATAGTACAGCAACAGACTCCACAGTTGACACTGTACATTGCTTCCACTACTGGTGGGCCACAACGCTCCACCACCACATCGCTATCTTCTACCTCTGAAGACGGTGACAGAACGATCTGTTGTACGGTCAGCTGCTTGTCGAAGTCCTGAGATGCATCTGAAACACATGCTGGGTGGCCACCTACATCATTGGGCAATTGAAAAGGGCCAACTACACTTTCATCGGAAATCTGTCTTTGGGGATTCTTTAGAACTGGGGTTTCACTCCCATCAACTGACAATTCAACACCAAGCATTGCTGAACCTTCCTGTCCAGGGTATTGAGTTGCGTTCCCTGCTTCTGGAGGGTCGTGGATTTCATCTTCTGGCTCATCTGGTGGCGCTCCATCACCAGGTTCATCATCTTTGGGATCATCCTGCAGATGTCCAGGTCCATCTCCTCCATTGCCAGCATCACCTGCAAGATCGTCATCCACTTCCTCGGTGAGTGCATCACCGGGTGCAAAGATCATGATCCTTGACTGGGCTTCCTGGTTCCAACCTGGTGGATCCGTGCAAAGCTCTCGCACACCAGTCAGGGTCCACTGCCCTGCCACGTAGTCAAACGTAGGACCGTCCATGGCACTTCACCCTTCATCAGCTCGGTGGTGAACTGACGAGGCGCCCAAAACAACGACCTTGATGTTGGACTCATGGTTGGCCTGCTCCAAAGCCGTACGCTCCCTAGAAGCTGGGTCAGACCCAGGGAAATAGGGGCCAATCCACCTCAAGCATCGCGCCTTGAAGCCCCATCCCTTGTTCTCAGCAAAGTACAGCTCGTCCAACAACACCACAGGTGTCTTGCCAACTTGAACCCGTCGATTCCATGCCTCGGGGCCGGTTCGCAGCACCGGGAACTTTCAGTGAGCAGGCCAGCGGTTTCCCACATATCCGCTGCATCCGCTGTATCCGGACTGCTTCGGCCAACCGACTGGCTTCTGTCAGGCGGTGGAACCGAAGGTGGCCTTGGAAGAGGAGGACGTCCACGAAGCTCAGCGCGCGGTGGTGAAGGTGGTTTTGGCCTCCTTGATGTCCTTCTCCTTGAGTCGCGCGAATCACTTCTGGTCCTTGGTCGTCGACGGCGCCCGCGCGAATGGGCGCGCGAACGTCGCCGACGTCAGTGCGTCGCCTCTTCCTTCTCTTTCTTCAACTCATCCAACTGCTTCATTCTGCATCGCTTTCATAGTTTCAAGCAGCTCATTCGCTGGGGGCGGCTCTTCCTCCCGGCGACTGGCGCTCGAAGCTCTCGATGAGGCGTAGCCAGGCATGGGATATATCCGTTCGATGGTCTCGTGCTGAGCCAGGCTTCTCACGACGAACAGGTGTCCTTGACCGAATTGAGATCGGTTGTCGCTCATCCCGCGGCAGCGGCGGAGGCGGCGGCTGCTTGAACTCTGCTGGGGCATGTTTCGTGGTCACCGTCCTGGTGGGCGGCGCCTTTATTGGCATCATCTTGGCACTTGGGGCCGCAGCCTTCGAGGTCTGCTTTTCTTCAGCCTTGGTTCTTTTCAACACTGGTGCTCCGTACGAGCCTGGTCGCTGAGTGACCTTGCTCGTCGGCACTGGCTTCACTTCAAACATTTCTTTGCGTACCCTGGCCAGTGTACCCTCATCTGGTCTCTCGTTCAGATACGAGTCAACCAGTGCTTGGACGCAAACATTGGCTGCTTCTCGAACTTCAGCAGACTCATGGCAGCACTCCATGCATTCTCCTTTGCAACTCCCAGACATCTGGGACCATGATACGGCTGCATTAGCATGAGTCACACTGATCTCATCCCCTGTGATCACTCCATACGCCGAAGCAAGCATCCAACTCACTCCAACGGCGCGGTGACGGTTCTTGTTGCAGTAAACCACCATGCCAACATTGTCCTTTGTCTCCACCAAGATGCGCAGCATCTCAACCAAAGCAGCTTGGCTCTCCGTAGTGGCAAAGAAACCTTTCAAGATCTCAGGGTGGCAACCCACATGGCCTCGAAGCGAGGGGTCATGGTTGAGATCCCCAAACCTCAGCACATTCACAATCCACGTGGTCCTTGTAGAAAGGCCAAATGAAGCTGCAACCGTTCTGCCAGCGCGCACCTTGTTGTAGGCGTTGGACTCCACGAAATCCGCAATTCCACGGTCAAACTCCTTGCCACATGAGATCAACACCGGGTTGGTGTTGCCAGGCTCGATCATGGCTGAAAGCAGTTGGCGCACTTGAAGAGAGTCTCAGCTCTTTCAAGCTGGAAGGCAGTTTCCTATCTTTCAGCTTTGTCAATGCACTTGACAAGTTGATGCATTTGGCGATCGAACTTCATTTCGTGCGAAAGGGACGTCGCGGCACACTCAAAATCGCAATTTTACCTCAGCTTTTGGTGATCGAACCTCATTTCGTGCGAAAGGGATGTCGCGGCACACTCAAAATCGCAATTTTACCGCAGCTTTTGGCGATCGAAAGGGATGTCGCGGCACACTCAAAATCGCAATTTTACCTCAGCTTTTGGCGATCGAGCCTCATTTCGTGCGAAAGGGATGTCGCGGCACACTCAAAATCGCAATTTTACCTCAGTTTTTGGCGATCGCCCATTTCATGCGAAAGGTTGTCGCGGCACGCTCAAAATCGCAATTTATTTTAGATTCATCGCAATTTTACCTCAGTTTCTGGCGATCGAACCTCGTTTCGTGCGAAAGGGTTGCGTTTTGTTCAGTCTCGTTGGCCCTGCCCCGCGCCTTAAAAGAGAGAAATAGAAAAGAAGGAAAAAGAAGGGGGCAAGAGAGCAAGAGGACAAGAGAGCCAGAGGGCAAGAGAGAATGTGAAGATGTGCAGATGTGAAGATGTGAGGATGTGAAGATGTGAGGATGTGAGGATGAGAAGATGTGTTGAAGTAAGATGTGAAGATGAGAAGATGTGAAGATGTGAAGATGTGAAGATGTGAAGATGTGAAGATGTGAAGATGTGAAGATGTGATGTGAAGCTGAGAAGATGTGAGGATGAGAAGATGTGAAGATGTGCGGATGTGAAAATGTGAGGATGTGAGGATGTGAAGATGTGAAGATGAGAAGATGTGAAGATGAGAAGATGTGAAGATGTGATGTGAAGCTGAGAAGATGTGAGGATGAGAAGATGTGAAGATGTGCGGATGTGAAAATGTGAGGATGTGAGGATGTGAAGATGTGAAGATGAGAAGATGTGAAGATGAGAAGACGTGAAGATGTGAGGATGTGAGGAGGAGAAGACGCGAGAATTCAAGATGTGATGTGAAGATGTGAAAATGCTTGGCCGACACCCACTAATAGAAGAACCCTTCGCGCAGACGCTCTCGGGAAAAAATGATGTGACACATTCAGCTTCAAACGAATAATTAAACATCTCCGAAAAGGAAATAGCACACAACTTAGTCAAGAAACGTGTGGACGGGGTTTGCTTCCTTCGGCAAGATCTCATCGAGACCTTGGCCAACTGACAGGTTTTCGAAGTTGATATCTTGTGCAGGATCTTGCAGCCATGGCACGTAATTCAGTTCTTGCATTGGAGGCCGCCGGCGCCTCAATTTTGTCGTCAAGTAGATCCATGTTGTCAAGTCTCGGCTGAATAGATGTTCCAACACCAAGCGGGCCCGTGAATATCTCGACTTTGCCAAGCATCCACTGCATGTGCGAATTCGCTGGTTAAAAGCAAGACAGGGCCATCAGTGCCATGAAAACGGTCACAACCAAACTAAGAGCAGCACGTCGCTGCCTCACTTATGCAAATATTTGCGTGCGTTTTTGGTTCCAAACACGAAACATGTTTGACTCACACTACCAAATGGACACAAACAAATACTGATGCGAATGCATTCTTGGTTCTGGCAAAAACCAAACCAAACCTTGCGGACAAGGGGCTCGTTTGAAGCGCTGCGGGGACAAATGGAGGTGCATCAATGGTCATTGACCCTGCTGCTGCAACAGCTGCCTGCACTTGGCAGATCACTCAGAAGACCGCTCATATGTTACGTCACGGGCATGATCCTTGCATATCTACATACATAAATGCATACAAAACCATGCCATTCCATGCCATGCCACACCAAACCACACCAAACCACACCAAACCACCCCAAACCACGCCAAACCACACCATACCATTCACATGATTTCAGGATCCCATTTTAGTTTGTTTTTTGCACCGCCTGTGAAGTCACTGGTATTCCGCACGTCGACAAAAATTTATGACGGCATCATTACAGGACATGGCACTACATTCTACCTACGACACACCACAATCAAAAGATAAACAATAACCTAACGTAACATACCATCCATTACATTGCATTGCACACATACAGACAGTACATACATACGTAGTTCGGGCATGTTGGACATGTTGTACCCAAAATGTTGATGGTGTATCCATATACTCCCTCCTAAAGTAGCCATAAATGGGGTTTACACAATTTTCAAACATACCCATATAGAGGGCACCTCGACATGTCTTACCAACATCCCGCCCTCCTGTGACTGGATTTGTTCCACCACAGCAACAACAACAGCAACAACAACAACAACAACAGCAGCAGCAGCAGCAACAGCAGCAACAGCAACAGCAATAGCCATAACAGCCATAACAGCAACCGAAGAAACAGGAAGGCCAGCAGGAACAGGAACAAGAACAAGTCCAGCAGGCAAGCGTGAAAACGCATGGAAAAGTGCATGACGCATGCCTGACAAGCACCCCTCCTTAAAAGGTTCAGAAGCAACATTCGCCACCCGTTTCCGTTTAGTTTGAAGCATCTTTGGTGATGAAATGGGAAGGAGGTCTAGCAAACATGCAGCATCGATCAAGCAAAACTACAAACGCGGGAAAATGCAGTTGCTCTGGCGCGAACAGATTTTACACAACATCCATACTGTATCTGCCATCGCCACCACACACTTCAACACAAAGAACGATTTGGTTCCCGCAAGGTATCAACATCCTTTACAACTATGAGATTTTCTCACTTACAACTCGCAACATCACTTGCAACTCTGATACCCCACTTACAACTCGCAAAAAATATCACTTACAACTGACAACTCGCCCGGTTTTGGAGCAGTATGGGAAAGATCCTACGCTAATAACCATTTAGGGTGTTTTGGGTGGTGGGGAGGGCTGGTTCTCAACTAGCCATTTAAACTTTTTTGGCCGGGGTGGAGGGGTGATTGCATCTTAATCTTAATAGCATTGGAGGTTTGTTGGCTGGCGAGTACTGGCCATTCAAGCTTTTAACCCTTTAGGGTTTGTAGGGGAGCGGCGAGAGTTTGTTCTCAACTAGCCATTTAAGCCTTTTCTTGGGGGGTAGAGAAAGGTGCTTTTATTCAATGGCCGCTGAGGATTCGTTGGGGGGCAAGCAACGGTCATTCTACACTTAAAGGTTACAACCATTTAGGGTTTGTTGGTGGCCGCAAGCGCCTTTTCTCAACTAGATTTTTTGAAGAATGGGGAAGGGTTATTCTACGCTAAAAACCATTTTGGGTTGCCAGGAGTGATTGTTCTCAACTAGCCATGTAGGCTTTGCTGGAGAGTGGAGAGGGGTGGTTCTATTTTCATGGCCATTTAGGGTTTGTTTTGGGATGGGCGGGGGAAGCCTGTCACTGTTCTCATCAACTGGCCATTTAAAGTTCTTCTTTTTACACCGGCCAAACAGACAATCTGTGCTCAGCCTAGTCTACAATCCTATACCTCTCTCCCCTTCTCAGCGTGAGACTCTTCTCTGTCCCTCATGCCATGACCCCCTTCAAGCATGCCAGGTCATCGTTTTTCTGTGTTATTCCTGTTTGCAAAACCTTGTGAGTGATCCTGGAGAGAGTTGCAAGCGATGCAAAGACGAAAGTTGCAAGCGATGCAGCGACGAGATTTGCAAGCGATGCCACCCTTCGCAGAGGCCCCAAAGCCGTGCGCCAAATTTGCCACAGCAACTACACACTACACATCCAAATCCTGATCACCTAATGAACTCCTGTCACAACTTTTCACTCATTTCGGCTTGGGTTAGCAAGGAAGGAGGTTCGGTTAGATCATGCCCAGCAGCACCTTGCAGGTGAGCAATTATTCACCACTTTAAGATGCCGGGGTCAGCGCCAGGGCGGTAGCCCGGGTGTGGGGTTAAAGGAAGAATGCACAAGCACCAGCCACCAGGTCAAATGTGCCGTTTGTAAATGTATACATTGTATACGTCTATTCATATATGTCCACGTCATATTGTGTGTATGCATGCATATGCGTGTATATATATATTTCTCTCTCTCTCTCTCTCTCCCCCTGTGTGTGTGTGTCTGTGTGTTTGCGTGTGCCCCCGTCCATATTAGGGGGATGGGGCTGGAGCCCCCTACTTTCTAGTGGATCTTGCAAACAAGTCTACCAAATGGGCAACACACCCTCTAGAGAAAGGGTTGGCATGAGGTTGGCCCCAAAAAACTTTTTGGAGAAGAGCCCCCTCCCACAATTGAACCATGTTCTACCGGAACCGCATGAAATTTTACCTCCACGCAATACATCTACAAAATGAGGTGTTCACACCAAACAAATCCAAAAAAATTGAACAACCGTGCTTCCACGAAATGACACATGTGTGATTCTAAACAAAATGAGATACCAGAATGCGGGTCTAGAAAGTACATGATCTATGTTTATAATTGAAATTTGATTTAATTTAAAAAGCATCACTCTAGAAAATGGGTTGATGGCATTATTGTCCTGTTCATCGTCCAACGCGTCATGGTCTTGAAAAAAAACACTGAAACGTGTCAGCCCTCTAGACTCTACAAAATGGGCAATATGACTCTTCGTGCTACTCTCGCCGCACTCACATCTTTTTACCTTCAGTCTGTCTGTTTCACCTGCTATCCTCAGGTTTGCTTTGGATCGGTAACTCTATGACATGCGCATAGCCCCAGACCAGTTTCAACGCCTGGTCAGAGCTGCCTGGTCACCCCAGGATGGAACCGGCTTTTGCAGGTATCACCCATCACTTAACAAAAGGAAGGGTAAGTGCTTACCTGGTCTCCCCAAAAAACAAAAGAGGCTATGCGCTCGCCTGCTCTGCAGGCACCCTCTCCTAGGCGGGCTTGTCCACGGGAGGCCGGCTCTTAGGGTTGGGTGGGCGGGGAAAGAAAAGCAATGAATGCTATTTTGGTTCAACTCCAACTTGAGCCAAAATGATAGCATTCATTGGCTCACTTGAACATGACGCATGCGCACCCAAAGCCTGCCAAGCTCGATGCATGAATACATCTCAAAGTGACAACATGACTCTTCGTACTACTCTCCCCGCACTCACATCTTTTTACCACCTTCTGCCTTCCGTCTGTCTGTTTCACCTGCTATCCTCAGGCTTGCTTTGGATCGGTCACTGTGTGACATGCGCGTGGCCCCAGACCAGTTTCAACGCCTGGTCAGAGCTGCCTGGTCACCCCAGGCTGGAACCTGCTTTTGCAATCACCCAACGCACTACTACACCCAAAGCACTAGAGGAAAATTCAAAGGTGAGGATGACTGCAACGAAAGGCAAATGGAAAAAGATTGTGGGGAGGTACGACGAATGAAAGCTAAAGCCATGGCAGCGCCACCATGGATCATCAAAACCTAATCTACTAATATAATCTGCCCAATTGCTCTTGCTCTGGACATATTCCCAATAACCCTGAGCACGCCAGGCAAAAAGGGCCAGATGATTAGGTGACCGAGTTTAAGGTCGGGATTGCTAGAGCGGTCTCTCACTAAGGTCACTGCAGCAGCCACATTGTCCAGAAACCAAAGGCCTTGCCGGTTGCGAAAAAGGTCGGCCGTTCGATCAACGCGTACAGCACCATCGTTCGAGCTGCGCGATGTGGGTCTCTGCTAGTTGCCAGAGGGTTTGAAGCTCATCGCAATTGGTTGCCACAAAACTGAGACGAGTCTAGGACCCGTCTGGCTGGAAGAAGATGAGGTGGAAACCACCAGATCCGGGATTGTCAGCCTCGACAGCGGCGTCTGATGCTGCCAAAAATCGATGTTGCTGCAAAGGGAAAACTGAGAACTCACGGTTGGGCTCAAAACACATCACCGCTTCGATCACTTCGACTCGAAGCATGCTTCAATCTCGCGGGTTAGAACTGCTGTTGTTTCGTCTTGGCGAGCTTTGATGGCCATGAGTCCACCATAGCCTACTCGGCCATAGATGCCCTGCTCCAAGACGTTGGCAATGCCGTACAACTTCGACGCAGTACCACGGGTAAACTTCCCAGTCTCTCTCGCTGCTGACATGATGTCTCTGACTTTGTCATGAAGGCGAGATCGTGCCCAAAATTTGACGTGGCAAGTGTTGTTGATGTCGCTGAGGTCGTGGGTCAATCCTAAGAAAGTTCCAGTACTTTGCATGGGTTGTTTCTTGTCAGCTGCGAAGGGGGAGCCTATCAAAGCACATGGTTGGTTAACAGTCCATTGGCCGGATCCTTTGGAGGATTTGAGGTCCGTGATTGTAGCATCATCGAAGAACAATGACACCAAAACTCTGCACAGCCTCCTGGACAAGGCCTCCACCAACCTGGAGAACCTGTTGAATGACATCACTGCCAGGGGGGGCCAAAGAGTAAGCCAGAGTACACTTGGCATGCTGGTGTCTGCCATTCGTCGTGGAACCAGACCGCCGACGCAGCACAAGCTCTCTTTCAAAGACATAGGGCAGTAGCGATGTGCTGGTGGCAAGTCTTCCTGGCCTGTCTCCCAGGCGTCATGAAGACAGAACTCTTGGATCTCATCTTCCGAGCGAGCTGGAGCATTATATAGTGTGGTTGGGGAACTGGTCCAGTCCAAGTCCACCGCTTCCGGAGGTGCGGGTCACCCCCGACTCCAAGAAGGAACGCAGCTCCAACCAGTGTTCACCACACGATCGATTGTTGCCTTCTCTGCATCCTGGACCTTCTTCTCAGCGATCCGCAGGCAAGTCTGCTTCCACTCGGACTTGAGCGCGTCCGTCCGGATGCCTGCAGTTCTTGTCCACGTTGATGGCCTTGGGCTTCTTCTTGTAGATCGTCTTCTTTTCGGGGCGCAGTATGGCAGGACCCTTGGGGTTGCCTTCAACTGCCTGAGCCCCTGCGGCCAACAAACACCACGGCTCCTCCACAGCCCCAACCACAAAAACTTGAACCCTCCAAGATGTCCTGCGCAACGCTGACAGTCTCCCGTACAGCAAGGCATCCTGACCAACGGACGGAACAGCTCCGGATTCACTGGCTTGTGGGTATGACGAAGACGCCTAATTTCCACCCCGTGCATCCAGCACGTGTATGCAGCCAGGTCATGGCCCTCCCGTGCCAGCCTCTCCACATGCTGCTTGAACTCCAGGAAAGCCGCTGCGTGGAGGATGTTGGCCTCGGTCGCAGCAGGGATATCAATCCCAGGTAGCTTACGCAGCATGCAAGGTCACCCCTCGCTACACACCAGGTCACCCCTGGAATGATCAAGGTCTAGAAAGGTCACCCGTTACCAGGCCTAGAAAGAAAAGCAATGAATGCTATTTTGGTTCTTGAGCTAAAATGATAAAGTTCATTGGCTGAGCCAAAATGATAGCATTCATTGGCTCACTTGACGATGACGCATGCACACCCAAAGCCTTCCAAGCTCGATGCATGAATACATACATACATACATACATACATATATATATATGTGTGTGTGTAATAAATATATATATATATATACAGGTGTGTGCTTACAAAAAGAATTGAGGCAGTAAAATTCTACACAATAGGTTTAAGCGTGTTTAGGCAATATAATTCTATAAAATGAGTTGTTCCCAATGATCACCTCCTTCTACAAAACACATGGTTTTGCAATCATGTCGTGCCCCAAGAAAATACCGCACCAAACATGCATTCTCTAGGAAAAGGGATGTTGTCAGAAATGTACTCAAACAAAACTCATATTGAAAATGCCCTAGATCTCCGAGCCCAAAACAATCCAAAATCCACCAAATCCATAGAAATTGCCAAAGTTTTTATGGCCCACCCTCCCGCAATTCCTGCAGATTAGTCGGATCATTGCAGATATACACATATGCAGCTAGACAAATGCAAATACATACGATACATGGACTATCTGCCCTCACTACGAAGTGTTTTTGTCAACATCTGTATTGTACATCGCTAAAATCAATCGAATTCTGACCTTCCTCCATCTGTTTTCGAAGACATTCGCAAATAAGCTTTGAAGATCTTTGAAGCAAAATGTGTGTGCGTGTGCCCTGACTCACTGCTTGCTCAGAAGTCTGGCCTCACTGTTTGTGCCCTCGCCAAGCGCTGGCTCAGGGAGAGCACTAACATCATCCTCATCACTTTCCTCCTGCAAAATTGTGCTTTCAAATTTTCAGAGAACAAACATGTCTACAGCAGCTCCATATTTTTCCGATATCATGCCCAGTAGCCGCAAATTGTTGAAGCAAGCGCACTCCCTGGATTGGGAACTGACAACCCTAAATAGCTGTTGTCTGCATCAACTTGCAAGCTGGCCTCGAAATCACCGCCAGCGAGGAAAAGCGCAACCTGAGACCTGTCGCACATACGCGCACACACATCACAGACAGTGAATCGTTTCAACCCCAAATTGCAACTATACATATGTATACGTGTGTATATGTATAATATATATATAATAAAAATTGTAATAATAAGAAGAAAAATAAGAACAAGAATAATAATAAATAAATATATATATATTGATAATATATATATATATACATATATAAATAATATATATATACATAAATAATATATATATATATGATACGTACACATTATGTTTAAAATATGACTTGTTGTCTTCTGCGCATCGTATTTGCTACATCCGAAAAACGCAATTCACGCTACAACCTCGTTGGCACAAACCCCATGCCACACGCAACCAGTGCAGCCATTGCAATGGACACCGCGGACCAAGGAGCACGTTGTCTGAGCAGAACACAAATTGGGACGGAAGGGACAGCGAGTCAACAAATGTCCAAGAGAAATGGTTGCTAGCAGGGTGCACACGGGACCCGCCAGAAGAAACTGAAGAGAAATGCAAGCACTCTAAAGTCTAAAATAAACCAAACCGTTTCGAGAACAAGATTGAGGATATTGAGGCTGATTTGAACATGACATTTCCGATCTGTCTCTGCGAGTCTCTATACTTCAAGATCCCGCAGAAGGTGCTACTCTCCGATCCGTAAGTGTGTGTGTGTGTCATAAACCTTTGTACCAGTAGTACCGCACAAGGCGGTGGCCGAAGTTTCAAAAATAGGAAACCTATAGGAGACGTTGGTTGTTGTGAATCACAGATGGCAGGGCGAATCCACTGATGGACCGAAGGGTGGTTGGAGCTGTGTTTTTCCCAAAAGCATCTTCGATGCTTGGGTTCTCGTTTAGTTGTTTAACCGCGTGGGGTAGCGAGCTGGTTTGAACGGTGGTGTGCGGACGGCGTGGGTGCAAGGGAAAGGAAGGGAGGAAAGGAAAGGAAGGAAAAGGAAGGGAAAGGATGGGAAAGGAGCGTGGGTGCCAGGGAGTGGCTGGAAATGGGTGGGGAGAAGAAGCCGCTGGACTGCGCGGACGGCTGCGGACGGGAAATGGGTTCGGAGAATTGCGCGGACGGCTGCGGACGGCTGCGGACGGCGTGGGTGCCAGGGAGTGGCTGGAAATGGGTGGGGAGAAGAAGCCGCTGAGAATGAGCGAGCTTGGCTGTGCGGACGGCTGCGGACGGCAAATGGGCGGGGAGAATTGCGCGGACGGCTGCGGACGGCTTGGGTGCACGGGAGTGGCTGGAAATGGGTCGGGAGAAGAAGGCGCTGGGGATGAGCGAGCTTGGCTGCGCGGACGGTTGCGGACGCGAAATGGGCGCGGAGAATTGCGTGGACGGCTGCGGACGGCGTGGGTGCAAGGGAGTGGCTGGAAATGGGTGGGGGCAAGAAGTCGCTGGAGATCAGCGAGCTTGTCTGCGCGGACGGCTGCGGACGGGAAATGGGTGCGGAGAATTGCGCGGACGGCTGCGGACGGCGTGGGTGCCAGGGAGTGGCTGGAAATGGGTGGGGAGAAGAAGCCGCTGGGATGAGCGAGCTTGGCTGGGCGGACGGCTGCGGATGGGAAATGGGTGCTACGGAGTGGCTGGCAATGGGTGGGGAGAAGAAGCCGCTGGGGATGAGCGAGCTTGGCTGCGCGGACGGCTGCGGACGGGAAATGTGTGCGGAGAATTGCGCGGACGGCTGCGGACGGCGTGGGTGCAAGGGAGTGGCTGGAAATGGGTGGGGAGAAGAACAAGATGCAGCCCACGAACCCGAATGCTCACACGTATGTTAATGGATATGCAGTCACTCAGAACAATTTTCTGCAATAGTTTATTTGAACAGTCTTGTATATACAGATTTCCCCTGTTACCAGTCTGCAGTGTGGAATGGACAGTGTAGAGTGTGGAGTGTAGAGTGTAAAGTGTAGAGTGCGGAGTGTGGAGTGTAAAGTGTGGAGTGTGGAGTGTAAAGTGTAGAGTGTGGAGTGTAAAGTGGGAAGTGTGGAGTGTAAAGTGTGGAGTGTAAAGTGTGGAGTGTAAAGCGTGGAGAGGAAAGCGTGGAGTGTAAAGTGTGGAGTGTGGAGTGTAGAGTGTAAAGTGCAGTGTGTAAAGTGTAGAGTGTGGAGTGTAAAGTGTGGAGTGTGGAGTGTAAAGTGTGGAGTGAGGAGTGTAAAGTGCAAACTGTAAAGTGTGGAGTGTAAAGTATAAAGTGTGGAGTGAGGAGTGAGGAGTGTGGGGTGTAACGTGTAGAGTGTGGAGTGGAAACTGTAGAGTGTAGAGTGTGGAGTGTAAAGTGAGGAGTGTGGAGTGTAAAGTGTAGAGTGTGGAGTGTAAAGTGTGGAGTGTGGAGTGTAGAGTTTAAAGTGCAGTGTGTAAAGTGTAGAGTGTGGAGTGTAAAGTGTGGAGTGTGGACTGTAAAGTGTGGAGTGAGGAGTGTAAAGTGCAAACTATAAAGTGTGGAGTGTAAAGTATAAAGTGTGGAGTGAGGAGTGAGGAGTGTGGAGTGTAAAGTGTAGAGTGTGGAGTGGAAACTGTAGCGTGTGGAGTGTGGAGTGTAAAGTGAGGAGTGTGGAGTGTAAAGTGTGGAGTGTAAAGTGTACAGTGTGGAGTGTGGAATGTAAAGCGTGGAGTGTGGAATGTAAAGCGTGGAGTGAGGAGTGTGAAATGTAAAGTGTGGAGTGAAAAATGTAAAGTGTAGAGTATGGAGTGTAAAGTGTAGAGTGTGGAGTGTGGAGTGGAAAGTGCGGAGTGCGAAGTGTGGAGTGGAAAGTGTGGAGTGTAAAGTGTGGAGTGAGGAGTGTAAAATGTAAAGTGTGGAGTGAGGAGTCAAAAATGTAAAGTGTGGAGTGTAGTGTTTAAAGTGTACAGCGTAAAGTGTAGAGTGCGGAGGTGTGGAGAGTAAAGTGTGAAGTGTTAGGTGTGGAGTGAGGAGTGCAAAGTGCAAAGTGTAAAGTGTGGAGTGAGGAGTGTAAAGTGTAAATTGTGGAGTGAGGAGTGTGGAGTGTGAAGTGTGGAGTGTGGAGTGTGGAGTGGAAAGTGTAGTTTGTGGAGTGTGGAGTGTAAAGTGTGGAGTGTGGTGGAGTGTGGGGTGTAGAGTGTGGAGTGTGGTGGAGTGTGCGGTGTAGAGTGTGGAGTGTCTAGGAGTGTAAAGTGTGGAGTGCAAAGTTTAAAGTGTGGAGTCCAAAGTGTAAATTGTGAGTGTAGAGTGTAAAGTGTAGAGTGTGAAGGGGGAGTGGAAAGTGCAAAGTGTAAAGTGTAGAGTGTGGAGTGAGGAGTGTAAAGTGTAAATTGTGGAGTGAGGAGTGTGGAGTGTAAAGTGTGGAGTGTAGAGTGTGGAGTGGAAAGTGTCGAGTGTGGAGTGTGGCGTGTAGAGTGTAAAGTGTAAAGTGTGGAGTGAGGAGTGTGCAAAGTGTAGTGTGGTGGAGTGTAGAGTGTGCAGTGTGGAGTGTAGAGTGCGGAGTGCACCCCTGCCACGCAAAACGAGATGACAACCTGCTTGGAAACGAAGGGAAAGGAAGGGAAAGGACGGGAAAGGAAGGGAAGGAAGGGAAAGGAAAGGAGAGGTTGATTTGGAAATCAGCCGCCGTCGCATGACCGTGCTCAAATGAGCTTGCTTGGCGATTGCACACTGTCACTCAATGTTTCCGCGCAGAGCTGAAAAAATGAAATTTGCAGTGAATGCGTCCATAATGTTCATCTTCTAAAAAGAAGCTGGCAAGAGGCGAAAAAGAAATCAACCAATTATCAGTATTACTCAAATTTGTTTGCTGTCGTTTTGCTTTTGGGTTCTCAGGCCCCCCCTTGTTTGGAGTGGTTGCAGTGGTTGCAGTGGTCACCTCAGCACAACTGCTGGATGTAGTGTGGTGTATCGCAGTTGTAGTTGTAATGTAAATGGAGTTGTAGTTGTAGTGTAGTGTAATTAGTGTAGTGTAGGTGTAGTTGCAGTTGTAGTTGTGGTTGTGGTGTGGTGTAGTCTAGTGTAGTGTACCGTAGTGATGTGTACTGTAGTGTGGTATAGTGTAGTTTAGTCTAGTGTCGTGTAGTGTAAAGTAGTGTAGTTGTAGTTGTGGTGTGGTGTAATTAGTGTAGTGTAGTGTAGCGTAGTGTAGTGTAATGTAGTGGCAGTTGCAGTTGTAGTTGTATTTGTATTTGTAGTTGTGGTTGTAGCGTACTGCAGTGTAATTAGTGTATAATGAAATGCAGTTGTAATTGTAGTTGTAGCTGTGGTGGTGGTTGCGGTGGTGGTGGTGGTTGCGGTGGTGGTGGTGGTGGTGGTGGTGGCGGTGGCGGTGGTGCTATCTATCTATCTATCTATCTGTCTATCTATCCATCCATCCATCCATCCATCCATCCATCCATCCATCCATCCATCTATCTATCTATCTCATCTATCTATCTATCTATCTATCTACCTGTCTATCTGCAAGCTTGAAAACGAAGCTATTCTGCGAGACTTCCTACAGTAATTTTTTAAAACTGACAACATCAAAAACGAAGCAATTCTGCGAGACTTCCTCAATTTTTGAACTTAGCAACGTCAATAAAACGCAGGAGGTCAGGCCGCTGATTTCCTGAGAGGGGTTGCATTTTGGAGCATCAGATCTGCAGGTTTGCGAAGATGATTTTGCGTGACAGGTGCGGCATTTTATATGACTTGGCATCGCTTTTTCGTGGCAGGCGAAGTACTTTAGACAGATGGAGTGGAAAAATCGCAAAACGCATTGGTACGAGGCCGTCAGCTCTGCATTCAACTTTCCATTCTTGAAGGGAGTCTCGCAGAATTCTTTCGTTTTTGTTGTCAAGTTCAAAAATTGAGGAAGTCTCGTAGACTTGCTACATTTACATCTCTGATGAACATGTCTCTTGTACTGCGCATCCATCTTTGCAGATCCTCTTCAAATGTCCCATGCCTGCCATCGTTTTGGAAATGCTACAAAACCGTCACGTTTTGCTCACTTTTGGCAGGGTGGAGAATCCCCTGTGCCTGCCACACAAAACGACGCTTCAACGTCCAAAAGTGGCGCGAACATGCGGTGCTTTGTACATTTTGACTTCGAAATGTGCTTCGCGCCACAACGGCGTGCACTTTTGCAACATCTCAACTTCCAAAAGTGTTCCGAGGCTGACGTGCTTTGTGCATTTTGAATTCGAAATGTGCTTCACGCCACAACAGCGTGCACTTTTTCGACATCTCAACTTCCAAAAGTGCTCCAGCACTGGGGTGCTTTGTACATTTTGACTTGGAAATGTGCTTCGCGCCACAACTGCGTGCGCTTTTTCGACATCTCAACTTCCAAAAGTGGTCTGACGTTGGTGTGCTTTCTACATTTTGACTTGGAAATGTGCTTGGCGCCACAACGGCGGTGCTTGGCGCCACAACGGCGTGCAATTTTTAATCTCTCATCTGGCCAGATGGCTCTGCACCCGCCCCTTTAGCGAGCCTACTTTTCGACACTCCTGAGCCACAAATCATTGGAAAAACACAGTGTTTCGCGACTCTGCTACCTTTTCGCACCTGCATCTTCTTTCTTCTGACTCTTCCTCTTCTCTGATCTTCTTTCTTCTTCTCTTCTCTTCTCCGACTCTTCCCACCTCTGCTTTTTCATCTGTCCATATTGTCGGAAGTTTGACTTCTAAACTTCCTTCGACAAGAACACCATGTTTCACAATGATATAATAGATAATGGTAATTGTTTCTCAATTTTTGTGAAGTAAGGACAGGCAAGCCGATCCTATCCAAAGAATGTACAGAATGTGAGCCAGTGCAACTGTACCGGGTCCCTAACGTCATCTCTGCGGCTAATCCCTTGTCTGGATCAAGATCCTTGGGAATCTGGCAGTTCGGGAGTGTCTGGAAACTCTCGTTTCATCTCCGCATACTGAATTGCACAACTTGCAGTCAGGACTGAAGGAAATTCCAAGCAGTGTTCGTCGCTGGCGTGATCCTGCGGCTCGCTTTCTGTCCCCATTTGCAGGCCTTTCAACCAAGGACACCGTAGGAAGCAAGAAACTACAACGCAAATATCGAAAAGTCTGATTGCAACTTTCCATTAGGCCTGTCTTCAAGCTTGGATCATCTTGGCCATTGCTCTGGTCCTGCTCCCAAGGCCGCCACATGGAATCTGCTTGTACCTCATGCATCTTTTGGCGATGACAAAGAACCCATAGACGAATTCAGTGCATGCAAGACATGCAAGGAAGAACTCCTTCAGGCTTCATCTCTGTTGCCGGTTTTTCGGTCGAAATCGCCTCGAATTGCCCCATATCCTGCGCAGCTTGTGGATGCAATCCCGCTGGTAGTGATGCCTCCATCTGGGACTTCATGTCAATGCCTGTCACATCACGGTTTGCCACTTGCCAATTTTCTAACACTGCCGTATACTTGACTGACATATCTTCAGATTACTTTTCACATTCCTCTTCCATTAACTTCTCTGACCTTCAATCACTGCGTTCAACTTCATGTCTACTCTGCTCAGTAAAAATCCATGCCCATTTGGCTACTTCCGACTACTTCCCTATGGACCTTTCACCTCGTGAAATATGTTTGCACTCAGGTGGTGTGACTTGAGTTGAAGTTGAAGATCATTCTTCCGGCAGCTAGTCAGCCTTGAGGCCAGTTCCAGGCAGATCCCGACCAGTCATTGTTCGGTTTGACTTCCTGGTTGGGTAGAGCCTGAAACAGTATGGATCATATGGATCTTGATCTTGCGGAACTGACAGGTCACTCAAATGTATTGTGTTTATCAAACTGGGAATCTTGGAAACGAACGTGAAACCTCAGGAACTGACATCGGCTGGTAGAGCCCCCATGTCAGATACACCTGGACAAAGTTTGAACCGATTCCGTGCCACGTGTCACCTCCATCTGAATATCTTTTCGAACATTGTTTGAGTCTTCGTGCCATTCCACCATGCAGGCGCCCATTCTTCGACTGGCGTTGTTTGTCGGACTGGAGCTATGGAGGCCTCCACCATGCGGACTGTTGCCATTATTGTCATAATGAATTGTCATGCACAGTCTGACCCTGTTGTTTCCATTTGTTTCCTAGGAAGATTCGTAGTCATCACGTTCACATCATGCCAAACGTTTATGCCAAATTGGTCCAAAGTGTACTCATGTCGTGCACGCAGGTTTACATATCATAAACACATAATATTCTTAGTACATGCGTGTATGCATACATGTGCTCTTGGGCTAAGCCCTTAGGGCCCCAACACAAGTTTTACTTGAGGCCGGGGGTGGATGACGAAAGCTAGCGGGGTAGGAGGAAGGGAAGACGTATCTTCAGTGTCAGCAGGGAAATGTCGGTGGCGTTTCCGCGTCAAACCGTTTGGTGTCATGGCGAGATTTCACGCTGTGCGTTTTCCATGGCGAGGCACGGCTAGGTAAGAGCGCAAAGCCGCGTTGATTCTGACATTGGCCCAGGTACTTGAATATGACGATGACGATGACAATGGCGAAGACAATGACACTGACAATGACGATGATGATGATGATGATGATGACGATGATGACGATGACGACGATGATGATGGTGGTGATGATGATGCTCGTGATGATGATGCTCGTGATGATGATGATGATGATGATGGTGATGATGATGTTGATGATGATGATGGTGATGATGATGATGATGATGATGATGATGATGATGATGATGATGATGATGATGATGATGCTGATGATGAAGCGGATGCGGCAGATGATCGGGATGATGATGAGGAGGAGGAGGATAAGGAAGAGGAGATGATGATGATGATGATGATGATGATGATGATGGTGATGATGATGATGATGATGATGATGATCACGATGACGAGAACGATGCCAATGACGATGACGATGACGAAACCGATGACGATGACGATGACGATGACGACGATGATGACGATGATGCTGATGATGGTGATGGTGGTGGGGTTCGGGGGGGGCCTTGCGCGTGAAAAATCACGTCATCTCCTTGAGCAGCCCCCGGAATACTTGCTAAAGCAAGAAGACTCCAGCTAGCTGACGCTAGCTTTCGTGACTTTTAATTTCCTCACGACTCCTAACTCCTGTCTAACAGTGATCCTTTTCCCAGTTTCAACATGTTTTAACATCTGTATCGACCCAAGTTCACCCTGGAATCTCCGGGCCACTTGTTCTACATCGTTCCAACGTTCCTCACATCGTCACATCGTCACATCGTTTAACACTTTATTCATCTTTATTCTGGGCGTTTGACAGCACTTGGTCGCATCGTCGCATGGCTTCGGTTGCATTTGAATTGTGAGCGGGCATTTTCCCAAATACGGATTGGAGATCCATTCAGAGATCTCTGAGGCACATCCGCACAGCTAGAACAGTGAAGAGCAGGAGACTCATCAGAAAATGATAAACAAGAGACTAAATGAGAAAGAATTAACTTGCCATGGGACCAAAAAAACAACAGCACCAAGCAGCCCCATTGGTCGGAGCAGGCAGTCTCACTACAGACAAGTGGTAGTTCCCTCCATTCTTTGTGGCGCGTCCCTCCTTAGCGGCGTATAGCTGGGTAGACCTCCTTCCTCTCCCTGCGTGCGCTCGGATTCCCTTTCTTCCTGCCTCAATGGTCACGCTGCTGTTTCCTCGTTTGTCGATGTTGCCTGTTCTGCGCTTGTGTTCTTCTGTGTGCGTGTGTCAGCTTGCTTATACGTTTCCTTGTTGTCCCTTCTGGTCTTTCGTTTTGCCTGTTTGTTGTATGCTTGCTTTGCTCCTTTTCTGCCCCGTGTTGTTCTCTCTTTGTGTTGTTCGCTGACTTTCCTTCTTCCCTCCCTCCCCCCTTTCTTTGTTGCCTCTGTGCCTTCCCGCACGTGCTTAATCGCTGTTTTTCCCGTATGGCAAGCAGGGAGGCAGTAACCCACGAATGGTTCAACGGTTGATCAAGCTGTTCCTTTGACGCTTTCAGAAGTCAAACTCTGCTGCATGGCCCGGTTGCAGCAACCTAGTGTATACAAGGTATGGAGGCGAAGCCTAGAGCGGATCACACTCAATTTCACGTTTCCTGTCTATATCGACCCTTTTCTATTTTGTCACATATGCATCGACCGATCTTTACCCAGAAGTCTCAAGGCAACCTGAGCTACATTGTTCCAATGTTTTTCATCTCCCAGTACACCCGGTGTTCCCACAGCAGAAAATAGCATTACATTATGTTGCGTTGTTGCCAAACATTAAGTTGCATTGAATACATTTGACGGTAGAACATTGCAACACATGTCCTCGTAGACATACGAACGGCCAACATACAAAGACACACATCATGCACTCATATAATATGCACATGTACACATGCGATCATGCACGCATACACATACACATATACATTCATAGCTACATACACCATGTTCCGTACACACCTCACCGAATTTCTCAACGCTAAGGACCCCAATCCCACAGAAGAAAGGTACATCTGAGTGAGGGCAATTTGTTTCATCCATGTTCATCTTGCAGAGCTCAATTTGAGAAATTATGTTTTTTTTCAACCACTCCCATGCACTCACCACACTCGATTTCATCCCTTAGAAGTCGTCCTGTTTACTTGACACTTTGGTCCGGGACATAAGCAAACCCCTCTGGGGTTCGGAGGGCAGGTTGCAGTGATGCAAGCACTTTGGGACGATTTTTTTTGTTGAACAGTTGAAGCATGTAGAAACTCAAAGGAAACCGAACGAACACTGAAATTGACAAATCACCCAAGCGGCCAGCGAATTGTTGCTCAGAGATCACAAGCGTCAATATGCAAATGCAAAGGCTAAAACGTTTTTTTTGTTTCAATCAGTTCGTCGGGATTCCAAAGCATGGGTCGAGCGCTAATTAAATCGAGCCTGCTTTAAACGTCTTATATACAATAAATTCAATCTTGTGGGCCGGATGGTTTTGGGAACAAAAAACTACGGAAAAAAAACAGCGACATCACTGCGCAGGTTTATCCGTGGTGCATTATGTTGAAATGATGTCAGAAAAATGAAATAATGTGCACGTAATTCATATAATTCTTCAAGTCCGCCGGCCTGCCGGCGTGTCGGATTGGAAAGTGTTGTTCTTGTTTCTGTTCTTGGTTTGTGTTCGTTTCTGTTCTTGGCTTGTACTTGTTCCTTTGTTCTCTTGCTGCGCGTTTTTGCTTCGTCTGAATCAAGGTCCCCCCCCCTCCCCCCCTGAAGATAGGCACTAGCGTCTAGGCTAGATCAGCTAGAGCGTCTTCCCAAGACAGCGACATACCTTTTTACTCACACGGCCAATAGCCAGTCGGTGTGGTGTCAACAGGATTACTCTATATCTCTCTTAACCCTTAACAACTTATGTTAATGTGCTCAATACTCATGCTATATCCACATAAAGGATTCAAGCAAGCCCACCTCAACAGGCACAAATTCAAAGGCAATGAGTAGAGCACTACGCTTTGTCGTACCCATTTGAGAATCAGAGTTAGAGCCTGTTCTGTGCTACACGTTGGCTAATCAGCAAAAACTGAGCGGAAGTCACGCAGTGGTTTCTTTACAAAAACAGCGGATGATAGCGGATTGAAAATCACAACCTTGTCCTAAGGACATGTCGAAATGAAAACAGCGAATTCACTAATTATTTTTCCACGACAATGATGCGCGAAGCACGGTCGTTCCAAGAAAAATGCTCACTGCAAGATTCAGAAATTTAGGTCAGATGGGAAAGAACTGACCAAATCACAAAATAAACGGATACAGCGGATCTCCAAAGTCGCTCATTCAAGCGGACAATGGACAGAAGTCGGAGTTGGTAAAATGTTGATTCGTTCCATTCGGAGCCTCTCTGCTCGGCGAAAGGTGTATGGAGACAAAATGCGATATTATCTCTATCTAGAGGAGTATATATCTACATTAAATTGAAGTTCGGACACAGCAGTGGCATTATCTCCAACTAAAAGAGTATATGCCATCTTGCGTAAAAATGAAACTCTGTTTGGGTATGATCTCTATCTCAGAGAGTATATACCTTCTTGTGAGAAATGAAAAATCTGCCTTGCAATACCTATGCTTGTCCGGTGGGCTCATTTCATTTCTTTTTCGTCCAAAAGGAAATGAGCACACAGAAAAACTGTACAAAGCAAATCATGCTGTGTTATCTTCATCTATAGAAGTATACACTCACTTCGGTCTCCATGTTTTGGACGATGAAGCTGAGGAACCACCATAACCAGTCTGTTGCCAGTTGCTCCAGTCGCGATCGTCATAACCCTTTCTCTTGTTTGCCTTCTGCGTCTCCCTTCACTTTTCGTGACGTCTTCGTTTCATCTCATAGGGAATGTAGGCACGCTTTTCACTCCAAATCATACCTGAAGGTTTCAAGTGAACAAGAATCGGGTTGTGAGCGTCTCTGTCTGTTGGTGCAACCATGAAGATTTTGTGATCACTGGTTAAACAAGTTTCATTGACCCTGACGGTAAATTCGCCAGTAAAGTTCATGTGATCTTCATCATCAAATCGACTGATGTCATCCTCATACTCCAATCTAGCATGTCCCCACTCAACAATAGACATCATACAACAGTCACCATGGTCTAATGTCTTCGTCACGAGTTCGGCGGTGTATGTATCTGTTGTAATGCCATCCAGATGTGTTGCAAGAAAATCAAGCTCTCGATAACTACAGGAGATAAAGTGCTTGACCCTAACAAGTGGAACCTCTCCAAAGTGTTTGCGTCTTGCTTGTGTTGCAACATCCATCATCTTGTTGAGCCAGTACTGCAATAAGCTGCATTCGTACGTGGGAACCTCCAGTTTTCGGAGTTGCAAGATAGCATGCTTTGTCCCCGTCGCCTGCGATCACGTCAACCTGATAACGGGCGCACTCAAAAGCCATGCAAGCTATGCACTCCCCTGTGATACCGGGTGAATCTCCGACATGCTTCTGTCCGACGTGGTATACACACACGCGTCATCTTCATGCGAGCTCTTGTGAGGGGCTCCTC